AAAACAGTTTCCAAACCTTTTAAAGAAGATATTAGTTCAGTATGACAGACAACACTTTTTTTTCTACCACAAACCGAAGCTCTAACGTTGGTTCATCTTTTTCTTTTTTTTTTTAGAGATCTCATTGTTTTCTGAACGAAATACACGACACGACCCTGGCTAAAAGAGTTAAGAGCACACTCTTCGTTAAATAAAAATAATGGGTGTACTTATTAAGGTCAGGAATAAAATAAATTATTTTGGAAAGAGCTCAAGGACTGCTTGGGCTGAAAATACGGTTTGAAGTTGGTAACACTGCAGAACGGAATTATCCGCTAATAAAATTCGCTACAAAATAAATTTTCAAACGTTTGTCTCTCTAAAGCTGAAATATATCTGTGGATTCATTAAAATGTTTTAACAAACTAGTTAGTAGTTGTTTTCCCTTTTATTTGAGAGCAGCACAAATCCTTAGTGTTTTACGTCAATTATCAAATTAATATGTAACAATTTCTTAAGGATAATTGTTGGACTTTTTTACAGTTGTCATAAAATATCATTCTATCTCAAAATCGCAATCAAGATACATTAGAAATAAACAAAGTAAGACACTTAAATGTTACAAGGAACACTCCCGAATCATTATTTACAATGTATAAACTTTGTATATCATGGTTTGGGATTTATACAATTTGTACAATCATTATTTGAGAGTGCTCCTCGAAACATTTTTTTTGGCCTTAGGTTCAAGACCTATTTAGCCAGACAATATAAGTTGAATACGTAAAATCAATCTCCTACGCTTCTTTGGGCAGTTCGTTGTACTCTATATCTACTTATTTAGCCAAATGGTTTACTTTTTCATTGCCTTTGGCATTGCCTTCTACTTGGAATATTTAAGTGACCTTAAACCCACACAAAGTTAGCAATTCCTTTTAAATAAGTTAAGATCCTTGGCTTTTCAAACGCATCTACAGTTAGCCTGTTAGTATATATTTGTTTAGAGAAGTGTCTTAATGCGAGGAGGATGGACTGTGAGTCAGATAAAATTATATATCGTTCGAAATTTAATGTGCTATTAACTATTAAATCCAATGCCTTGACAATGGCTACCAATTCAGCTGTGAATATTGAGCAATCTGATTTTAATTTAAGGTTATTAAGGCTTTTTTCACATTTGGGAATGCAATTATTAATATACTCATTCTAGGTTAATTTTGAATCCAAGATAAAACCTAGGTATGTAAAACTGTTATATACAGGAATTTCTAGTTGGGAGTATTTTAACGTACTAACTTTTGGTACCTTGTAAGATTTAAGTGTCTTAGTTTCTTTATTTCTAGTGCATCTTGATTGTGGTTTTCGTATAATAACTTACGCTATAATTTCGATGAGGATTTATTATATTTCTCTAGCACGTCACTTACTTAAGTTTAGTAGCTGATTTTTAAGCCAAAAATTTGGAGCTGCGGCTATGATCTTGCAAACCTCATTCTGCTGTATTATCTTTAAGACTTGTGATTTAGTTGCTAGGTTTTTCTAGTAGCTACGTTGGATTTTTAAATGACTTAACTAAGATTTTAGCTTGATTTTATAATAAAAATTGCTTATCAAGTAGAATATTTTTATCGAAATATTTTGTTGTTGCAATGAATGTGTTTAGTTATTATTCTAACACGAATTATAATTAATACTATAAATCGACTATGCTTTGGACATGCATGCTACCCATGCCATCTATTTAAAATAAAAATCATCGATGATGATAGTTGCAAATATTGCGGTAAGTTAGGTGACCTCGATCACATCTTCTTTGAATGTCCTAAATTAATCTTAATTTAAACCACGTTTGCCTTAACTAAATGGTTTATACTTATTTTAGGCATTTTAAACCTGATGATGGAATTATTATTCCGAAAACGTTTGTGTAATTTAATGTAGTCCTTTTAAGAATTTTTAAATATACCCATTTACAAAGATCTAACCTCTTTTTTGTCCTAAATTTATTCAGCATTCAAACTCCCTGTATAAAAAATTAACTAAATGCAATATATACGCTCTATATAATATAGGTACAGTCCTTGTTAGCCATAGGTTCTGTAACAATATATAAGTTCGGTGATATCGGCTAATTCTACAGAAAAAGTACAAAAGAACATTTTTGTTTAAAATTAACTTAGCTACAGTGTTTGAAATATTTTACATATTTTTTATGTCTGCCTACTAAAGGCTAAATAAGTGAGCCTTATTTTTATACTCTTATGTTGATTATGAAACAAAGAGTTGGAACAAAGACATGATACTTTCAATCTATATAAAAAAGTAAAAGAAGCCGCTGAAATATTTAAACAAACTCCTACGTCTTTCATCGAAGATAAACATGGGAACCCGCTAGTGAACATAGAAGATCAAATAGGTAGATGGAGAGAATACGTGGAAGAGATGTTTCATCACCGAGAGAGGACGAACATTTACATGCAGGAGGCATCGACTGGACCTTATATCACAAAGCAAGAAATTATCAAAGCGGCAAATCAGTTAAAGAACGGAAAAGCTGTTGGGGAAGATAATATCCCAATTAAAATAATAAAGATATTACTAGACGAACACATCGAAGTAATGGAAGACATATTTAACAAAATATACGAAACAGGCATAATACCAAATGATTGGCTGACATCGGTGTTTATACCACTACCAAAGAAGAGAAACTCCAAGAAATGTGAAGACCATAGGATTATTAGCCTGATGAATAATATGTTGAAGATTTTCCTACGAGTAATACACAACAGAGTATACAATAAACTAGACGAATACACTGGTCAAACTCAGTTTGGTTGTAAGAATGGGTTTGGAACAAATGAAGCACTTTTTTCAATACGTGTGTTGGTTGAAAGATGTAGAGATGTCGATTCTGATGTATACTTGTGTTTTATAGACTTTTCGAAGGCGTTTGACCTGGTGAAACATGATAAACTAATAGATATTTTAAGTTCATGTAATATCGACGATAAAAACTTAAGGATCATTTTAAACCTCTACCAAGAACAAAAGGCTAAAATCAGAATAAAAAGCGAAACATCTAAAAAAATCAATATCGAGAAGGGAGTAAGACAGTAATGTGTCCTATCACCTTTGCTGTTCAATGTTTACTCTAAGAAGATATTTCAGAAAGCTTTGGAAGGCACCGCGGATGGTATAATTATAATATTATGTTATAAACGGGCAATGTATAAATAACCTGCGATATGCTGATGACACTGTCATACTGGCAGATAATGCTGAAGCCCTGCAACGCTTAATAGACCAAGTAACGACAGCCTGTAGAGAATTTGGAATGAAATTGAATACAAAGAAGACAAAAACGATGGTCATCAGCAAGCACCAAAACAGAAGGGTGAAGGTCAATGTCGATGGAACAGATCTGGAAAGAGTAACAAGAACAACGTACCTTGGAAGTAATCTTGATGGAACTTGGGACCACTCACTAGAGTTAAGAATACGCCTGGAAAAGCACGTACAATGTTTTACAAAATGCAAAAAGTTCTATGCAACCGCCAGCTGGGCATCTTATTGAGAACTAGAATACTTAAGTGCTATGTTTTCTTCACCTTGCTCTATGGTGTTGAAGCCTGGACAATGACAGAAGCAACACAAAAAAGAATCCAAGCATTCGAACTCTTCTTCTTCTTCTTCTTTTGCCCTTTAATTCGTCCAATTTTGAACATAGGCTTCCCCCAGTTTCCTCCATTCGCTTCTGTTTTGTGCTTTCTGTTTCCAGTGTATTCCTCCTATCTTTCTAATGTCATCTCCCCATCTCATCTGGGGTCGTCCTCTTGCTCTCTTTCCTGTCCATGGTCTCCATTGTTGTATCGTGTTGTTCCACCTATTGTCTGTTTGTCTGGCGTTATGACCTGCGAAACTCCATTTTAGCCTGGCTATATGTTGACCTGCGTCTTTGACTTTTGTTTTGTTTCTTATCCAGATGTTTTGCTTCTTGTCTTTTAATTTTACTCCCAACATTGCTCTCTCCATGGCTCTTTGTGTCTTCACTATCTTATCCATGTTTGCTTTGGTCAGAGTCCATGTTTGGCATGCGTATGTGAGAATTGGGAGTATGCACTGGTCAAACACTCTTGTTTTTAAGTTTAGTTTCTTATTCTTTAGGACCCATTTTAATTTCCCAAATCCTGCCCAGGCTAATCTGACTCTTCTTTTTACCTCCGCTGTTTGGTTTTCCTTATTTATTTTTATTATCTGTCCCAAATATATATAATCATTAACCGCTTCTATTGTGATTCCATTTAGTATTACGTTTCTATTATCTTGTGTGTTTGTCATTGTTTTCGTTTTGGTAAAATTCATTTTTAGGCCTATTTGTTCAGATTCCTTGGCTAGTTCGGTTAGCATAGTTTGTAGTTCTTCAAAACTTGATGTTAATTCGAACTCTGGCGTTACCGTAAAATGCTCAGAATATCCTACATGAGCCATACGACAAATGCGGAAGTCTTGCGAAGGATGAATAAGGAAAGAGAGCTTATGCTTATAATAAAAGAACGGAAAACACAATATTTTGGTCACATCATAAGAAATTAAAAGTATGAACTGCTTCAACTTATAATCGAAGGCAAAGTCAATAGCAAAAGAGGACCAGGAAGAAGACGCAACTCTTGGCTTAAAAACCTACGGCAATGGACGAACATGACCTCCATAGAACTATTCAGGGCTGCTACAAATAAGATTAAATGGGCAAATGTAATGGCCAACGTCCTTAAGGATAAGGCACCGTAAGAAGAGAAGAATGTTGACTATAATAGATTCTAATGTTGTATTTGTTATAAAAAAAATAGTTATACGTACATTATACGTAATACTGCTTTAAATAATAATATTAAATTGTTTGAAAGTACTTAAAACTGAAAAAGATATAAAAGTGATAATTTATGATATCAATACAATAGCTAAAAACACTTGAGGCACCACTTCACCTTAGATTCTAGTTGCATTTTTAAAAACATATATACCTATTGATTAAAAATTTAGTCTCCAGTCGTCATTTTTTAGTGAAGATGTTGTTAATATTACTAATTTTTGGAGTGACGTCTGTGGTAAGACAAATAAACCAATTTATAAAAATAACAGGAGCAATTAAAAAAAAGTATTTGTAGCAACAGTCTGTGAATAAATGCTTTAAAGTGAATGGCTCATACATTAATCAATGTTTTATAAACAATATACATTTAGATTTAAGTTAGCAGACCAAACTTGTCATTGTGTCTGCCTTGTCTAACTATTTTTTTTTAATATTAAAATAATATTTATTTTTATTGTGTTTTGTAATGTAAGTGACAAGATACATTAGACCTAATGTAGTTGAAAAATAATGGAGCTTTCTGAATTAAATTTTGTATCCAATACTCTAATGTGTTTTAATAATTTGAGATTTTGTAGTAAAGATGAAGCAAAGGTGATTTTTATTTTTATTATTTTTTTTATATAACACCTGTATGGTGTTTGTATACCTGGTCACACGTGATCAATTATCAATTATTTTCTGACCTAAATTAATAAACTGCAAAAACTAAGAGCCAGCCATGCGGCCCTAACATACAATAACATCACAGCACTATACTTTGCCTTTTACAGTAAACTGTTATACATTTATATTAAGTCAAATGATTTGGTTCTTATAATTCTTCTCTTTAGTTTAGTTTTGTCAAGATGCTGGATAGTCTCAACATTCACATGACTATGCAGCCTCTGGTCGTGACTTTCTGCTGTTCTCTTGATTACTTTGGTCACAGTTTCCATATCCAGGTCTTGGTGGAGGTTACTGTTACAGATATACAAAGGGACATCAACAATGTTTCTCTGTACTTAGTTTTTCAATCCCTGGATATTATTTAAATTTTAGCTTTGGTAAAGCCCCAGAGTTGACACCTATATACGCATACTGACCTCAGTACTTGCTTCTAAATGCATAATTTATTATGAATAGAATAAGCTGAATTTTTTTAATCAGTTAATACAATTTGTTATATCTAATATAGCTTCCTTCTTTTCTTTTTGGTGTTATTATTTTCACAAGAAGTTTTTTAAATAGTTTTGACATCACTGGAAGGAGTGATATCGGTTGATAGGATATCACTTCATTAGGAGATTTATCTGGTTTGACGATCATAATGACTTCGGCTACAGACAGTTGTCCGATAAAACTGGATTTAAAACAATAAACTGATAAACTACTTAAGTTGTTAACAGTTTTTTAAATTATTCCTTATTAAAATTGCAATAAATAATCAAAAATTAGCAAATAATCATTTTTACACACAATACAAAACTTACAGGTACTTTATGGTACTTAATAATCTTTTTACACAAAGTTCGCGAAATTACACTAAGATTAAACTAACACTAATTTTTCCGAGACCCAGTTTTGTCTACACTTTTGTTGCTGTACTAGAAGTACTTTTTATTTTCAGATTTGTGAAGGTCCAACTATTCATCTTCCTGACGGAACAATTGAGGGCCTTACTGCTTATACTATAAGAGACAAAACAGAATTTTATGCTTATCTAGGCATACCCTTTGCTGCTCCCCCCATTGGACAGCTACGAATGAAGGTATTGTAGTTTATATAAAGCATTTTATGTTCGTATAATACATTTAAAAATATTTTTTAGCCTCCTCAGCCGGTAGAACCTTGGAATGGGACTTTTGAAGCTAAAAACAATAAGAAGATTTGCTATCAAATTAGCTCAAAAGTGCATTATCCACAAACAGAGGACTGCCTTATACTGAACGTCTATACACCAATTGTAAGTCTATAAGACACCATTTAATATTTATAGAATAACTTGCTCTATTAAATAGGATGGATGGTTTTTTAGCGCACAATATCTTTTATCTTCCTCTATTTTGTGACTCATATTTTCTAAATGTTTCTTAATTTAAAATGTGCTAAGTTAGTTTCATTCAGTGATTGTTTCATCATTATTTAATCTTCCCTTGTCCATAGAGACATAGATCTCCCTTAGAATTTTCCATCTGTTTCGATTTTGTAACTCCTACATCCAGTTTTCCTAGCCAGGTTTTAGATCGTCAGTCGATAGTGTTGGTGAGAGGCCTCTTCTTAGTTATTTCATGTATTGAGTTCATGAAAAATCATCAGTCATAATAAAGTCTTGTTTAGAACAATCTCTGCCTGGTTTGGAAAATTTTCTCCACTCTTAATCTTCAGTTGATTTCACTTAGTCCTTTAAATTGTGCAGGTAGCTAATTTTCAGTCTTTCTGACATTCATAAAAACGCTTTAAAGGAAATTAATGAATACGGATGTGTTTAGTTTTATGTTGGTTTGTTGCAAATTCGTGCACAAATTATCTTATTGTTTGATTCCTCTGGAGTTTGCGTTACAATAGGTTTTTTTTTACTTCAGTGTGTTGTTATTCCAATAAAAAACCTCCAACTTTGGAACTGTTTGCTTTCCACTTGGCGTGGATACTTTCACACCCAGTTACTAGTCATTTATCTTTTTTTTGTCTTATTTGTGATATAAGTAGCTTGACAGAATCCACTTCGATTGGACACCATCATCAAGGTTCAGCCACTAACATTTACTAATGGTTTTTCCCATTTGGGTAAATCAGCAATTGTATAGTTTAAATCCAATAAGGATAGACAATATTAAAAAATAGGTTTTTATTTACTTCCATAGAAACCGGGACAGTCAGGAAATTTGCCTGTTATGGTATCGATTTATGGTGGAAGCTTCACCCATGGCTTTGCCTCAATTGGAACTACAGGTCCTGATTATTTTTTGGAAGCAGGAATTATCGTTGTTACATTTAATTACAGAGTTGGACCATTTGGTAAGTATATCAGTACCCCTACAGTAATACTAAGCATTTGCATTATATATAATACATAGTTTTCTGATTTGAGAATATCTAGAAAGATTGTTCTTTAAATATGTATTATATTTTAATTTTTTTAGGATTTTTGTCGACGGATGACGATACCATTCCCGGAAATATGGGAGTAAAGGACCAAGTGTTTGCGCTGAAGTGGGTTCAAAAAAATATCCACTTGTTTGGTGGTGACCCAGATAAAGTCACTATTCATGGACAAAGTGCTGGAGCAGCTTCTGTTACTTATCATATTTTAAGTCCTGCTTCAGAAGGTAGGTAGTATCTTGTTATTTTAAGAAAACTATTATGTATTAGATTTTTAATTTAGAATGCAGAATAACAGATTAGTATAATCAGATTATCTTATGTTATATTTAGAAGTTTTAAATTCATTGAATATGTTTTGTATATAAATACATACACACCATTAATTATTCGAAGTCATTATTGAATTATTTAAATGAGCATCCATTCGTAAAGAAATGGATGTAATGTATGTTTTAAAATGAAAATAAAAAATATATATTGTTGGAAATCAATCAACCAACAATTCAATACACAAGACATATTGAAATTGTTCCTGAAAATTAGTTAAAAGAAAAAAATTGTTTACAAAAGCATATTTTAATGAAAATCATCATTTGTGTTTTAGGCTTGTTTAGAGGTGCAATAGCAAACAGTGGTTCGGCGTTAAACAGTTGGGCTAACGTCAACGGAAGTGGTCTTCACGTAGCTAGAGGAATTGCCAGAATCATCGATCCGACAATTAGCAAAACGGCTACACCGAAAGAGATTTATGATTTACTGATGAGAGTCGATGCTGAAGAGATACACAAAACAGGAAGTAATTACGCAGTAAGTTTACTGTGAGAGAAAATAACAAGTATCTTTTGTATTTCTAAAAAATAATGTATTATTACAAAATAATAATGATATACATGAATATAGATATGGGCCCTAGGATACCGACTCGCTGTCCAAACGAAGGGTCTAATAGCAGTCATTCTATCGACTTTTTTTTTCTTTCTTCTCGATTTACTATATTGTCAATACGTAGACAAGACTGTAAAGAAATAAATCGTTGTAAAGACATCCTTTCTAAATAAGCTTATTCCGATTCCATCGATATACCAAAGATCTTCTAAATTAAGCCGAGTAGACTTAAACATCTCAGCCAAGTACAATAGTCCAAACAATGCTTTTATTTCAATTGAACTAGTTTCGCGAACTGTAGCTTACAGTAGGTATAGATGCGTCTTAGGCAAGGCGCTCACCAACGTGGCCACCAAATGGCGTGTCAATGGCGAACAAGTGTTGTGGTGTCCCAGTGGCAGGTAAAATGTATAAACATATGTAGTCGCACGTGCGACCTTTCAATACGTGCGACTACATTATGTTTATAAAGGTTTAACAATTCTATCTGCCACTGGGGCACGCCATTTGGTTGCCACGTTGGTGAACGCCTTGCCTTAGGTTAACAATTCATTAAAACTATTTTAATATTATTACGTAATTTATTACAAATATACAAAAAAGCCACAAAGACACAAACTCACATCTTATAAAGTAAATTAACATAATTATTTACAAACATCTGGACTTCCTACTTGCAAACAGGTCAATGATTTTATTAAAATCTAATTTTGTAAGCAGATCATTATTAATATTTAAAACAGCGAACGAATTTAATGTTTCTTCCGTCATCGAATTTCTCAAATAATTTTTGACCCGTTTTAAAGTGGAAAATGATCTTTCACCAGTTGCGTTAGTAACCATCAACGATAAGAAGATTTTTAGTGCTATTTCTACGTTTAGGAAGGTTGCAATTATATTATTTTTATGCAAAAGCTCCATTACAAAAGTAGCACTGTGATTTGTTGGATTATTATACTTAACTTGGCTAGGTAACTGTAGGAAACTACAATACCTGGGACATATTACACGTGGGAATAAATATCAACTGTTACAACTAATTATGCAAGGAAAGATTGAAGGTAGGCGCAGCATAGGTAGGAGAAAAATGTCATGGTTGAGAAACCTCAGAGAGTGGTTTGCTTGCACTTCCATACAATTGTTCCGAGCGGCAGCCTCCAGGGTCACAATTGCCATGATGATAGCCAACCTTCGTGGCGGAGATGGCACGTGAAGAAGAAGAAGAACTTAACTTGGCCTAGTAGTGACATTATAAAATGTTTTAATTGAATACACTCACTTGGTAGAAATCTATCCAAGTCATTCGAATAAATACTCACTAATACCGACGCTTTGTCTGAAATCACGTTATCCTCTGAAAGAGGTGGAGGAAATAAAAATGAGAAAGTGATGGCAAGATCTTCATAAGCTTTTCCCATAGATTTCAGATTATTTGCCAAATAATCAATTGTTTTATACAGCACTTGGGTCGTAACTTACGACATCATCCATCATACTAGGTGTAAAAAGTAAATTGAAACATTCCACGAGAGTTTTCGCCATTTTTGCATTTTGTTTTACACCTGGTACATGCTTAATGAGAATTACTGAGCGCGTTCTTACATTTATAGGAAAGCATGTTAAAGACCATTTAGTGCCGTCCTTACCTACGAATTGTTTCTTATGACTCTCCTGTCTCTGCCGCAAAAATTCATTTTCGATTTCTATATCAGCCACTGACTGTTCTAAATCAATAGTGTCTTCCTCGCTGTCAGAGTTGTGGCTACTATTGTCTTCATTGTCGGATTCGTTCTCACTTGCAGACCCAATTACTACATTAGCGTCTTGAGAATCGTCCCATAAAGCTTGAAGCCTCGCCGGCTCCCGATCATATCGATAAGCCAAAACAAAAAAAACATAAATAACTTATGTATAAAATTTCACATTTTCATTAAAAATAAATAATTTCAACGGAAATTATATAAAAATGTAAATGCCCAGCTCAAACAATATTACTATAAATATAATTAGTTGTTATTAGGTAGGTATCAGTTTGAATGAGAAGCATTCTTTTCGATATGGGTACAAAATTTTTAGGATGTCTGGCAGTTTCTTGATTTAAAATTATACCTACTCCATTTTCGTTTCTTTTGTTGGGTTACCTGAATAATACATACATATATGTAATGAATATTAATTTCACATTGCCCAGAGTTCGTTTATCTCATTTCGCTTATTCCCATGATGTCTATTGATTATCTATCCATCACCTTGATTGCATTATGAGTCTTACTAATCTTGTATAATGTTTAAACATTCCATGTGCAGATCATGAGCATTTTATTTGCACTAGACTGGCAAGGATTCTGTCTGTTAGCGACCTAAAAGGACTTGCCGTCTTGTGATTGGTAGTCGAATCCCATGATCAGTATTATCTTTTCAGAATGCATGAATCGTTTGAATTCAAATACGAAACTCGTTTTAAGATCCATAAGTGATTTAGGGCTTTAAATCTCCACAGAAAAATCCAAAGTTATAATCTTCACCAGGCATAACATGAAACCGATGGATACTGGATGGATACCGGAATTTCCGCTGGATACCAATGTCAAATACTTAGGAATCACATTAGACAGAAAATTAACCTGGAAACTTTGTATTGAACAAATAGAGACAAAAGGCAATAAAGGGCCAAACAGCTCTACTCTTCTATGAAGATTACGTAAGATCAATAATTTATTAGGGTTGTACATTTTATGGAACAGCCAATAAAACAAATCTACGTAAGCTGGATATTATATAAAACAAATCACTCAGAATATGTCTGGGAGATATGAAATCTACACCAGTGGAACCGTTAAGAGCTGAAGCAATCGAACATCCATTAGAACTGAGAAGATCATTTTTAGCTGAAAAAATCATTATTAAGTCGCTAAAGAAAAACTCACCATTCATTAAATTAAACGAATACGACCTAACTAATCCTTTTTGAATTCATAAACACTATCCTCCTATTTGTGATGGATTAAGAAACGTGACCTTAAAACCACAAACAAAGGTAGAGACCGACTACTTTGATCACTTTGTTTTCTGTTATGTGAATATACCCCTTCATTCGGAGTTAGCATCATTTAATAGTATGATACTAAATCAAATTTTAGAGGAATATCCAAACAACGTTACTATATACACTGATGGATCAAAAAACACCGATGGTATAGGTTTCGCTTTATACCTAATAATACCTAAACGTATACAGAAAAAATATAAGTTAAACAAAAACACATCTATTTTCACAGCTGAGGCAATAGCAATTTTAAAAGCACTAGAATATGTTTATCAGGAAGAGGATTAGAATGCTATAATCTTCTCCGATTCACTTTCCGTTCTTAAAATTTTAAAATCACAACTAATGACATTATTTTTAGCATCCAAGCAATTCTTAAACAATTACAAGATAAAAATAAATATATAAAATTCTTTTGGGTCAAAGCACACGCAGGAATAACAAACAATGAAATTGCAGATCAAATTGCCAAAGAAAGTATAGTAATGGGAGAACAAATAAATTACTAATTAACTACAGACGAACAAATAATCATAGCAAAACAGTGAATAATGAAGAAATGGTTCTATTTATGGCAAAAGTACAGTTTTACAAATCCAACAGGTTATACCAGACTTGAAACCAAATTAAGGAGAAACCCTTGGTACAATGAGTACGATTACAGTCGTAAAAGTATAACTACTATCAGCAGAATGAAGTTTGGTCACGCATGTTATCCAGTACATTTATTTAAAATAAAAATATTTGAGAGTGATCTTTGTGAAGCCTGTAAAAAACTCGGTGACCTGGACTACATATTTTTTTATTGTTTAAAATATAGAGCTCAATCTAATGAGCTTTTCAAAAAACTTTTAAAATAAACATTGAAAGCCCATATAATAAACTGCATCTTCTTGCTTTAGACAAAAAAGAAATTAACGATTGTTTGCTGTCTTTCGTCAGAACAACGAGTATACCAATATAACCACCTTTGTTAATACCTGATGTCTTTTCTTAATGTATGTATACCTATCTGTCCGAGACCTACCTTTTATCGTTTAAAAAAATGCCCTGATCGGCCCCTTGGCGAGAAGAATGCAATCCCTGTGTAATCCTTATACTGTATCTGTTTTTAAAAATTTGTATCTGGTTGTGTGGGTATTCACCCTAAAGCCAATAAAAAAAGGATATTATATTCATAACATTTATTGTTACCCACGTTGCATATTTTGCATTTTTTATCTATTGCAATTTTAAAACTGAAAAAAGTATTTTTATTACAAGTATTTCTCACACAATATTCTCAAAATGTATTAAATTTTGTTGATTGTGAAATATGAAGCTATAACAATAAAATCCATACAGCAGCAAATGCGATATAGCTCAATATTTAAAATTATTTAAAAATATTAAATTCAGCATTGAGCGCAATTAAAAATTCTATTTCACATCCCAGCTGCCTGCGTTTCGATCAATAAAAATACTATTATAAAAAATATTTACTTTTACATCCATATGCCCACTATTTTTAATCGGGTGAAATGATTTTATATTTATACAAAGCCTGCCGGCCGCTTTGTTTTTCGTTACAGATGAAATCTATTGGAATAATCAGGATGTTTTGTGTATTTTGTAGATGTTCGCGCCAGTAATTGAAGGCAAACATGAAGGGGCGTTCATTACCGAATCGATGTATGAACTGTTGGAGAGTGGTCGGTTCAACAGGGTACCCTTGGTGATTGGATTCAACTCGGAGGAGTATATCAGTTTGGCTTCCAGTAGGTATCTGTTTTCCATGTATTTTTGATATAAAATTGAAACTGTAACCGTTTCAAAAGTTTTAGAAAATTCATTATAAATTCGATTAATTTTTTTTTAAATAAAACTGCTTACCCCCTCTATCTGCCGGGTACTTATAGCCGACTCAAGGATTCTACTGTAATTCCAAATATATCCGTTAGATGAGAATGCTCATTAACTTTTCCTTTTAGACTTATCTGAAGATATAGACAAGAAAAATCCTTTTCTTGTCTATATCTTCAGATAAATATTAATTTTTAGACCCTTGTTGAAGAGTCTAAAATGTTGATATGTCTCTAATAAGATATTGATAATAATGATATGGAGTTATTATAATCCTAGCCCAGTAATCTGTTTATGGTGTGATATATTTATATAAAATGGAGTCGTACCAATGGTTTTATTTGATTAACTGATTAAATAGTAAAAAGAAACAATTTCTTTGTGGTTACCAGCTACTAGATAATTCAGGTTGTACCAATTTTTATTATGTCTTTTCTTCTATCAAGAAAGCAGAAAATATTTATGAACTTAAAAAAATAAAATATAGTAAAGTGCTTTAATTTTAATTAAAAGTTTAATTTCTCTATTCTTCCTAGTTGATAAATATCTATATTATTTTGAATGTAAACAAATTTCGAAATTTGGGGTTAATATATAAATTAATTTTTTTTAATAAATAATTCTTAATTTAATACGATATACAACTTTTGTTTGTTTATACGATTTTTAAATTATTTTGTATAAACACTCCTTATGGTAATGTAAACAGGAACTGGTATTTTGATATCCTTTTGGAGTGACGTGACTTTTAATGTTTTTTTTGTTCATTACTAAGAGATAATAAAGTATAGTTTTATTGTAAACTTTTTATAAATCTTATTTTTTTCTCTTTTCTCGTCCCCTTCGAGGTTAAACCAGGGGTGGCGTCCAATAATAAATTATAATTCCATATTATCTAATTGTGCTTAGATTTACCGCCCCCCCAATGTTCTCCGACAATGACCGATTCTGGCCTTATCCGAAGATATAACTATCGACGAACAGCTTTTTTCCACGAAGACAAGATGCCGCTTGACCCCGTACATGGTGAATAAACCCGATAAGTTTGGAATTAAATTCTGGCTTGCAGCTGATGTCGAGTCCAAATATTTGTTGAACGGATGTCCTTACCTAGGGAAAAATGAACAACGACCAGCCAATCAACTTCTGGGGGAACATGTTGTTACCCGTCTAATGGAACCATTTATAAATAAAGGAAGAAATGTCACGACGGATAATTTCTTTACGTCCATAAAGTTGGCAAAAGAATTACAAAAGAAGGCTACCAGCATTTTTGGAATAATCAACCGAACAAGAAAGGATATTCCACCGTCAGTAAAAAATGAAAAGATGGAATTGTACAAAACAAAAATTTTCAAACACGAAGACTTGACGCTAACGGCGTACCAGGGAAAAGTCAACAAAAATGTTCTAGTGCTGAGTTCTTTACACTCGAATGATATTAAAATGGGCACAGAATAAAAAAACCGGAAACCATTATCTTCTACAACCAGATACAATACGTACGTATTTAGTCTACAGACGTTGTAGATCAGATGGCTAGACTGTATTCAACCAAATCTGCTTCAAGAAGATGGCCGTTGCAAGATTTTTTTAATATTTTAGATATGGCAGGAATAAATGCTTGGGTTCGGTATAAGAAAGTTACGGGCAGTCAAATATCTAGGCAGGATTTGAAATTTGTCATATATGTAAAAAATTTGTGTGTGAATGTACAAGCAAAATTGAAAAATTTTGCTACTGCATAAATTGTACTTAAATAATTAAATAATTTATTTAAATATATTAAATATGTCTTTTATTATTAGTTATTAACTCAATATACTTTTTTATCAAATAAAAAAGAATACAAAATCTGCTGGCAATGGAAAATTCTAATATCCCTCATTTTAAACGCCGGCCGGTGGTGCTTCTAGGTATGCACAAATGCTGGTGCTTCTAGTGTTAAAAGAGGAAATATTGTAGCGGTATAAAGAAAAAATGTTGACTAGTCTCAATGCAGCTTAGGTCAATTTCCATTGGTTAAAGGGTCTTGGTAAATTGGTTATCGTACAGCCTCGACATAAAATTGTATGATATATAAAATTTGTACAATTAATTGTTTAAATTATTTTTTAGATGAAGCAGGTTTAAGGTCCTCAGCCAAGACTTATGATAGTAATCCAGCCACTCTGGTCAACCGAGATATGCGTGTCACGGATGCGGAAACTTTAGAAAAAGTAGGATCTGTTATTAAAAATGTTTATACCAAAACAAGTGATTTTGAAAATCAATTAGGAGAAGTAATAAGGGTAAGTTTTAACATCAGAATCAGATTTATAAAAGAGTATTTTAAGTAAAAGTTTAAACAAATAATAAAAAAGCTTTATCTTCTTCTTCTTAGTTTTGTGATTTTATTATTTGGGATGAAGGCATCCTCCAACTTCTTTCATCGATATCTTTCCTGAGCTATATACATCCAATTTGCTTCGGCTATTTTTTCACTTTAAAATCATTTGCCATATATCAGTAAGTTAATTGAAATTTATTAAAGAAATTTGATAACTACAAGTTAAAGAAATTTTAAAACACACACACAATTGTACATCTAATTTCATTCATTGTCATACAACTGTCACCTTAAAAAATTTTAATAAATAAAACACATTTCATAAATATATCTCTTGAATAAACATAAATAACTTCTAAACAATTAAATAATACATACCTTTCATTTAACAAACAAATCTATCTCCTCAAGAAACTTTCCCGTTGATTGTCAAACAATTACAATAGTAAAAACTGAAGTTCTCCATTCAGCAATACAGGATAGTTTGAACTATGTTCTTCCAACCATTAATTAATAGTGTACCGGCATGTAAGTAAGGTTTTGTTTATTTACTAATTTATTACAATTTAATAGACTATTTTTATCCAATTTGTGGGTCTTACTTTATCTGCTTAAACAGTTTATTTATTTTTTAGAAAAACCACAGACATGTAATATTGGTATAATTACTGTAATTTATATCATTTATCTTTGTTTATCTTTATAAGACATCACTCTAATATGGGTTTTATTATTTCAGCATTTAATTAACTTTCTATCGAGACCTGAAGATGCTTTGCATATTGTAGAAAGCGAAACCGGTCGTCTAGATAGTTAAATTAAACTGATTGTAAGTCTTATTAATTTGTTTTAGCTATTTTATTAGTATTACTTCATCTCTTCCTCTTCCTCTTGAATTTGTGCTATACCTGTATCCATATCATTGGTATACTTTCATCTTGTAATATATAACTCCTCGTCTTTTTCTCTTAATGTGTCTTACTTTGTATATTTTCTTTTTGTAGGTTCAACAGTAATTTGACCAAAAAAAAGCATCTTTGGATATCCAATCTAGCGAATCAAAATATTGAAATATTTGCTGTTGACGATATTCACTTACTTTATCCGAGCAACTTAGATAACAAGCTCTACAGCAACTTCCTGGTTTGCATACTTTGGACGAACAGTCCTACCTTTATCTGAAACATGTTGCTCCCCCCCTTTATATCTTTTTGCTTTCTTACGAACCCTTTGGACATATTAGGATTTTACTTTCGATACTCCTCTTCTTCTTCATGAAAATCGGAAAAAGAATCAACATTATTCAACGGCTCGACCATCTTGAATGCTGTATAGGCATGTGTGGCTTTTGTTTAGAAAAAAATATAATTTACAAATATGTCGGATAGGCACATCTAGCTCCAAACCACTTATCTAATAATTTGTCTACCATTCCAAAGAACTCTTAACAGCATATCGGTGATTGAAAGTAAAAGATGTTTAGAACTGAGCCATTAACATATTAATCAGGATGAAAAAATTTAATTTTCAGTTCCGTAGTGACGATATGTTCATTCGAGGTGTTATAAGATACGCACAAATGCAAGCCAAATACGAAGACGTATACCTGTACCAGTTTTCTTATCATGGTTTACTCGGAAGAAATAATCTCACATATGAAGGTAAACGTACAGACAAATCACATAAATTGTTTCATACTTTTTTACCTCTTTAACACTAAATAATATTTTCAGGTTGTGGCAGAGTGGAGCATGGAGAAGATGGACGATATCTATGGGCAGGTGCCGATCTAACGAAGTATCCAGCGTCAGATGTTACGACTGTGGAACGATATGTTGGATTTTTTACCAACTTTATTAAAACGCTGTAAGTCGATCATGGTTTTAGACTTTCTAGTCAAGACTTTTTTCTCGTTAAGTCATTACCATCAGTAATTTTATATTTACCTTTCGTTACTTATCTAAAAGCTTTTATTTATGACTTTATTAATTTCCTGATATTAATCTAAATATGCTTCTAAGTAGCATAGATACAACGATAGTAATCAAAATGTCATTGGGGTAATTGATTTTGAAAATGTTATTGAGAAGGTGTGACTTAAAAAAATGCTAGAAATATATAAACCAGCTGAATTGGACGGTAAAGGTTTGCGAAAAACTACAAGTCTATACAGGCATCAAATGGCAAGAACACCAGATCTTTTATCTCATCATACCAGGAAATATCCAAGGTAAACGTGATGGTGGTAGAAGAATAACATCATGGCTTAAAATCTTGTCAATTTGTTATTGGATTTTGGTAGAAAAAATGATATATGTAATTATCGATATCTAAATAATAACAAATTTAAAAAACCCAGCTCCCTACCTAAAAAGTATATTAATTTAAGAGAGTTTTTTCTAAACTTTGCTTAAAAACGATAAAAAAAATGTACAAAAAAACAAATTAACGAGGATAAGAAATAGAAACAAGGATGATAAAAATAACATCTAGAAATATCAATAATAAAAGACGTATAATATATTTTACTCATACCTACTGAAAAATTATGGGAAAACATGATCAATATGAAATGATGGCATTTAACAACGTTAAAAAAAGACCTAAAAACTATTATTATAACAAGAGATTAAAAAAAAACTAGTTAAAAAAAGTAATTGCAAAGAGTTTAATAAATTGTTCTTCGATTCCTTATATTTATCATAGTTTCTGAACTATTTATTAGAAGTATTTATTAATACTGTAATGAATGAAAGACCTTTATTTTTTATTGACCAATTACGATTTGAAATTATATTTTTAGAAATCCCACCCCGAATAACGAAGAGCTATTCCAAAATGTTATTTGGCCTCTTCTTACCGACAACATTCACTTCTTGGACATAGATGAGGATTTGTCAATTAAGCAACACCCTAGAAATATGGTATATGAAAAATGGGTGACTATATATAGTAAATATGCTGTGGAGCCCCTGCTTACTTATTGATAATTTATATAAAATAAATATATGAATTCTTTTCTGCAAATTTGTTTTATTTTTTTTTGTTTATATATAAAATTGTCTTTTATTTTGCGTTTTTTGTCCTGTAGGAGCAACCACTGCCAGAAAACTAGTGCAATTTCGTCGTTATCCACATCTTTAATAAAACTGATTGCAGTATGGTTTGTGCAAACATTTTGTTTCTCTTGAAAACAAAATGTTTCTTGCGGAAACAAAAACGTTTTCGTTTCAAAGAAAAACGTTTTTTGACTTAAACAGTTTTGCTCTTTCTGTATGCGGCCACCCTCAAACAAATTAAACAAGTTTTAATCTAAACAGCAACAAAAAATTAAGTGTTTGGATAATGTATGTGTGAGAGATTGGAGAGAAAATGCAAAGGATCGAAAAAGTAGAGAAAAATAACCAAGTTTTTGAAAGTCAGAGACCTACAAGGCCTGCCTGCAGTACTGTTGTATATATATTATGTGATGATTATTAAATTCTTGAGTATATCTTTGTGTGTGATATTAAAAATTTCCTGATGTTCTTCAGCTCCTTATAAAATCGTGGGTAGTGTTGGTAGTTGCATCTTCTTCTACGCTTATTATGATTTTGCGTAGACGTCTCTCATTTTTCTTGTTATGAGATGAGCTGTATCAATTATGTTTTCTAGTTTCGTACTCCCAACATTCTCAAGTCCAGAAACTGGAAAACCGAGGCGAAAAATAGGAGAGAATAGAGACTTATCCTTTGCCAGGCCAAGACCCACCTTGGGTTGTGGAGCCAATAATGATGAAGTATCCATTGTGTCCATATAGTATTCTTGCGTGTTTTCTTTCTTTGTGTAAGAAAGTCCTATCATAGCAGTGTTTTCTTCGTGAAATATTTTTTTCGTTTAACAGTTGATTTTTAATTGTCCCAGTATTTTTTTACTACTTCTTATAAGCCAATAATCAAAATATTGATTGTGTGATTCCTAATTCTCTTGAAGGTTTTAAAGCATTATGATCCTTTTCTGCAGAAAATCAAACAAACGATTTCTTTGTAATGATTGCTTAGAAATTCTATCGCAAATTTTATAATATATTTTAGGAATTACTTTGCCAAATAACGTAAATCAAAAACAAATATATATATATATATATATATATATATATATATATATATATATATATATATATATATATATATATATATATTATATTTAAATCGAATATTATAATCGTGAGCGTTTATTGTTCACCTAACGATGAAATTGATAACGGCCCAATATTGATTTTACTTACATTAACTAATTAATTTAAAATAACTGAAAATCGCTAGTATTGTAGAGTTAAAACTACAACCAATATTTACGAATTAGTACATATATTATTATTAATGTAATTATTTTGGAAATTACCACCGGTACAATTTAATTGCACAGGCTATCAAAATATTTGAAATTTTTTTATATGACTCAAAATGGACATAAAGTGTTTTCCTACCCACAAGCTAAAATAAAAGTCATTTTCGAAATTACCGCTAGTAATTTTTAAAAAGTGTTACAGTTATTAGTTCAATTTAAAGTGAGCCTAATTCCTTGTGTGACCAGAGATTAACAGTTTATGTAATTAACTTTGATACAACAAAAATAAAAAAAATCCAATATCAGAAATTATTCAGTTTTAATGTACATAATATATAATTTTTATTTACATTCAAAGCAAGAAAAAGATTAATAGCAGGTTGGAATCCCGCACAAAGTTTATGGCTCCATGAACACCATTTGGTACACTAGATCATGTCTTCAATTATTTTTTCCCCGCAAATTAAACATAACCACTCATCAACACACATCTCTATAACAACGTCAACTTTTTTTTTGACTGCTTCTTTGTTCCTTTTAAGACTTATTTTAATTCTAGTTTTATTTTTGGAGCAGTTACAAGTTTCTTAATTTTGATTAATGAAACGATTTTGATTTCCCTTTAGTTTCCTTCTTTGATTTTGGATGAGGCTTCGGTATCGGGATAATTGAATCAATTAAAGTGTTAAGTTTTGGACTTGCTGCACGAGTTTTTTGGTAGGCCTAATGGGTGTAATAGTTTTAGCTAAAATCTCTTTAGGTCTATAGTATAGGCCAGATTATTTGGAATTCTACAGGAGCTCCTGTTGTAGACCTAAGTGGTTTCTTGTTTATCTTAGACTCTTCATTTTCACTATCTTGGTAAGTTTGACTGACTTTATTGTAATTTAAATTTTTAGTCGCACAAAAGTAATGTATCTTTTAAGACCATGCGATTAATAGGCTATACTTGACTAGTTCGGAAAACATGGATTGCAATTTCAATGCTTGCAGCTCTTCCATAAGCTTCAGAAATCAAGCCAGCCACGTGAAGTTGTGTAATACATAATTCGGGGTTAAAAGGAAGCCTCTTTTCAACTGCTTAAGTTTAGTAGCCTTTGAAAGGCTTAAAGGATGATCCATCCAAAGGCTGTACGAGATAAGTCGTATGGCCAGGCAATTGTAGCATTATTACACCATGCTATATAGCTCGTTAAATTGTTTCACGATTCTTGAAGTGCGTTGTTTGCTCATTCAGTACCAAAGTTTTTTTACTGTTGAATTTACAAAACAAAATAAATAATTGCGTTAAAAAAGCAAATAACAGTCATGTTGACTCCACTTTTTTTACTGGACACTGACAAACTTGCGTTTTACCTTTTTATGCTAGAATCTTTTGGCATTTGTTTTGCACAGTGCTGACACGCGTTTTGTTAACGTTGAATATGTGAGTTGCATCAATATTATTTTCGTCAGCAATTTTTTCCAGATGATGGATAAAAACGTAAATATTCCTTTTATTGAATCCTTTTGCGCGCATCATGAACGTTGCTTGAGGTTCTCTCAACGAGATTATGTCCTTATGACGAGCTTTACAAGCATAAAACTATTTCTTTTTTGCCATTTTTGATTCTGTAAAAAAATTATGTAGTATTTGATTTCTCTCGACGATTTAATTGATGAAGATCATTAATTGTGAGGTTAAACATCAACGAATCCAGTTTTAAAATGTGATCAATTAGTTCCTACTTCACTGCTATTGGTAACACACTGCTTTGACCAAAAGCCTTAGTTACTTCATTTGCCCTGACATTAATCCTTGTAAGGTGATGAAGCAAGGTAGGCTTAGGTACTTCATACTGCCTGCATCATTCATTTAATCCTATGTCTCTATTACGAAATGTTTGAAAAACCCGGTTCATGTCGTTCAGATTCCAAGTCCCATATTTTTCTTTGGGCTTATAACATACACAAGGAAGATGTGTGCTATTTATTTACTTTTGGAAATAAGTAGGTCTTAAATACCCAATGGTATCTAAAATTGTACTGGTACAATATAAGCAACTCGCTCTGGTACAATATGGGAAACTTGCACTTTATGCAAATTACTACCATTCTTAACCTAAAAATAGTCCGGCAAAGGGAAACAACTCAGTTTTATACACCTAAATATATGATTTTCTTGTACTTATGAATTTGAATGGTTTGCATGTAATTTTACAAATGCTGTAGCATTTCGTATGGAACTAGAAAACTATACTTAAGCACCATGAAAACATACAAAAAATTCGACAAAATTTGATGTAGGGACAACAAATTTGTTATCGAATAATGACAATATTAATTTTGATAAACAGGGAAAATAACATAATGTTATGGAAATAGTCAGGGAAAAAAATACAACAACGTTACAAAAAAAATATAATAAAAACAGCAATATGCAATATTGTATCGCCATTAAATATAGAAAAGATGGAAGAATCAAATAGACATCCTAGTGATATTATAAGAACTAAGACGAAAAAACTACAGAAATTGCAAAAGAAGACTTTATATTTATAATTATCGATACCAGTATTCTTCCTTCTCTTTTGAATATTCTATAAATTTCAAGATCTCTATCGGACCTGTTTTGTTGCCACTAGTTATATAGCTTTCCCTTCACCTTAATTTACCATATCCTTATTTTGAGCTCCACCTAGTTTCTTTATTGACAGATTTCTTTCTTGAAATTTTTCTGTAGTTATAATTTCGTTTTTTTACTGTATGGATGACAATTTTCAGATGACAAATATTATTTAATAAAACAGTAAGTACTTCTGAAATTTTATTTATTTAAAATAATTTAATAAGTTATTTGTGTCCCAGTAGCATATTCATTGTATATATCAACCCATTTCTGGTAAGAAAACTCCCTTGGATGTTGTTTTACAGTTAAATTCTTATCAATATCCAAATAATACATCTCAGTGCTAGTTAACTTGGGCCACAGGACATTTTCAAAAATTTCTTCGTTTTGTGGAGTAGGATTCCTAAGAAAAAAAAGGTTTGTTACAATATTTTTTAAAGTTTTATAAAATATTATTGCAAACAACGATATTTATTATATCTAGATTCTGAAAAATAAGCACTATTATTAACAGCTTTATCATTTAGGTTCGTTCGTTTTTATTGGTTGTTTTTCACATCTGTTCGTGAATACCTATTGGTTGATTGCCATAAGTTCATCTGTTGAAATTTTTCTCTAGTTTTATTATGTATTCTTTGTCGCTTTTTAGTTTGATCTATCTGATTACAATAATAATGTGGCCTTTTTCTACTGGTTTTTGTCTGTTTAACAAGAATCCTTTCTCTTAAAAGGCGATGGTCGCTGCCAGTTGTGAATCGATTAAGAGCAGTTATATCTTCAAAAATGTCTTTGTTTCCACACGAGTAGTAATCGATCTCGTTATTCGTCTTTTTATCTGGAGATATTCACGGCCATTTTCGGTTTGCTGGTTTCTTGAAGTGTGTGTTCATGGCATATAAATTTTATTGTTCTGAGAAGTTTTTCTATGTGCAGCAAAATCGCAATTACACGGTAATTTTCAGGATTACATCTATCACCAATGACATACGTATTATTTTAGATACGTCATACCAATATTTACTGGTCGAAAGTTTTTGCTTTTAAAGACATTGATATGTTCAATGTTAATATATCTTTAGTGGTCCAAAGAGGCTGCCTAGGTTAAGAAAAATCTTCTGCTCAAATAGACATTTAGCATTTCCAGAAATTTTAGATGTCCATATTGCGTCATTACTATATTCATATATATAAATAGTATTTAAATATTTTTAAACAATAATACACATTTTACTACTATGTTATACTTACAGATATTTAATAAAATTAGTTATCAATCCTAAATATCGATCTACAGTTGTGACATCTTCTTTGGGAAATTCACTGTAGTTTTTGAAATACGTCCAAAAATATCTCACATCTTCTGCGTGTGCAACTCTACCTGGAACTCCTAAAAATATACAGTAACAATAAAAAGACTTTTATGTTTTCATGTAAGATGGACATAAAAAATTACTGTAGCACTGAAACCGATCGGAGTCCTGACGGTACCCTAATTAGTAACTGGATTGGAAATTTTAGTAGATATATAAAAACAAAATGATATTTACCATCAACTGTTGCATTATTATTACCTATTATACCATGATACGAAAACTGGTATAAAAATACATCGGTAAGCCAGGACTGCAGTTCTGCAAAACGTATTACAGGTCGAATGTAAGTGTCGTCACTGCTGAACTGCAAATATAAAAATAAATAAATATTTTTTAGACATTTAACGAATCTTTTCAGTCATTGATCTAAACAACTGCAATTTTAACTAGGTAGAGGTAATGGATTTTAACAAGAGCTATGAGTCATGCCAATTTAGTGCACAAGTTTACCTGTTATTTACAAGGTCACAGCTCTTGTCAAAATCCATTACCTTTACTACTACTACTTATCGGATTATAACGTTTTCCACCATTTTCCGAGTTCCAATTGCCACTTAGTCCGGTTGTTTCATAGGTCTTCTTCAATAGCCCTCTCTCTCAGTTCTTTAGTTATTCCTTCGCTCCAACTTTATCTCGATCTACATCGTTTTCTCTTTCCATCTGGTTGCCATTTTAATATTTCTTCTGGTATTCATTGTTCATCCTTTCTTTGTATGTGTCCTAACCAGATAAGTTGTTTTGTTGCTAGGTCATCTGTGATTGTTCGTTTGATTCCCATTATTTCTCTAATGCGTTCGTTGGTAATCCTTTCTCTTCTATATCTTCCTGCGGGTTTTCTTCTAAAATCCATGTCCGTCGCTTTCAGTGTTGCCAGTGTTTTTTCTTTCAGTGGCCATACCTCACAGCTGTATAAAGTGAACTTAAAGCTGCATAAAGTGTACTTTTATCTATAGTAATATATATATATATATATATATATATATATATAATATATATATATATATATATATATATATATTGTTATGATTTTGTATTTTTGATTTTAATTTATTTACTTGAAACAATCACAAAAATATACTTTCTCGTTATCAATGTCCTAAAAAATAAACTTCTGATATTTCTTATGTTCAGTGAGTTCAAAGTTTTCTAGTTGTATTTATCGGGATAGGAAAAACAAAGGATAATAATAAAAAGTATAATACATAAAATACAGATATTTTTTATTTTATAAAAAAAAAACAATTATTAAATTTGCCGTTATCTTTTCAATCAGCGAATATGCATGTAATGAAATTAATACAAAAAGAAAATTTTAATTCTTATTTTCTTCTTGAGACAAAACAATTTGAAACTAATTTAAATTTGGATACCTTTATAAACTTTTATCTTCCTTATATTTAAAAAATCTATTTTATTATGGAAACAAAACTTTAAAACATTTGATAAATGTAAAAAGGTCTAATCATGCTTTAAACTGGTAACAACAATGAGGTAAACAAATCGCATTTAAGATTTACACACCTTTCAACTTGAAAAAGGAAAATATCTGACCTTTCTTCCCTGGATTGTTTTAGGACCACACAAAGAATTGTCCACCTTCCACAGCAATGTGTTCTTCCACCTTGCGCCTCGGCTTCTTGTTTCAGTATCTGCTCCTTCAGCCAATTTAACTGACTTAATTTAACCTCCTGACTCAATTCTCCAACACTTAACACACGAAAATCACTTCTTCAAACATTCATATAACTTCTTCGTGACCCAAGGATCTCTTTTCTCACCTGGTGCCACAACTATTTAACACGTATTCCAGAAACTGCACACTTTAGATTCAAGGATTTCTTTACATCGACTAGCAATCTACTTCTTCCACAATTCTGCTAACAAGACTGGTAACTTTATCCACTTAACAATGCCGGCCTCCAACTCACGAACACACCGCCTGTCGAGACGCAACCTTTCTTTTCGATCACTCAAACATCACTGTCTTCTCGAACCAACAAAAACTCTATCAACCCTCGGTCTGTCGATTTCCCCTTCCAAAAAGATCGTCTCATCACAAAATCCAAATTTGTTTACCACACTTGTTGGAATGCTAATTACCGTTTTCAAGCAAGGAACTTTAATCTTTTAACAATGGTCATTTCCTTGTAAACAAATAATTTTTATACATTTCAAAGATTTTTGCCTTAGTCATAATAGAAGATTTATACAACACAATACCGGACTAATCCTTCAGGTAACAGCTTATTTTCTCTAATGTACAAATGGTTTGTCAATAACTCGTTTAGAATGGCTTAGTTCTTTATAAGTCATAAAATTTCAGTACTAATCTATCTATTTACAAATATACAAACTTTCTATCTTAAAATTAATACATATTTTGTCTTCAGATTTCTTAAAAACTTACTTCCGATGGATTCCTTAATTATTTTTGTTCCTTCCGCGTTTGTGGAAAAAGAAGTATAATAATATATATATATATATATATATATCTTTTTTTATTTTTTTTTTTGCTGATGAATTGATTCCATAAAATACTGTTTAATATTGTAATGACTTTTCTCCCTGTCGTATTTCTTTCTCTTATGGTGTTGTTCAATGTTCCATCTTGTGAAATAGTGACACCTAGATATTTGTAGTTACAGCAGTGCTTTATCGTGGTGTTATCGTCTAATATGAGATCTTTTTGTTCTACTCCAATGGACAGGTATTCCTTCCAGTAGAACAAGAAAGCACTCCAGGAAGGTCAGTACCACTAGCATTGATCACGACTCTGTCCTCTTGACCGACATGTGTGTAGTTTCTGGTTAAAATTGTTAAAGGACGAAATATTTTTAGAACAATAATTTCTTAGATTTTAGTAAAAACAAATAGTGAGATTAACTGCAAACGTCATAACAAACCAAAACAAATAGAAACTCAATACATGTTTAAACACTTGTTACCTGAATTGCTTTTCCAGGCTCATCGGCCAATGAGCCAGTTGTATAGATGTTTTGAATTTGCTTTCCAATAGTTTCGTATTTTTCCAAATCCTGCACGTTCATATCTTGATTAACCAGTTTTTTAGGATCGCGATAATGTCTCTCAATATACTTTTTCCAATTCGCCATATCTACAGTAGTTAAAAAATTTTTTGAAGATTAAAATGAACATCGAGTATAAATTACGATTAAAACATTACATGATTTTTTCTTAAAATATTCCGAGCCAACCAATTATATTAGATGTTCGCCTGAGGCCGAAACTTAACAATGCTAAAGATTTAAATGTAAGAGTATAATAAATATATTTTAAACACTTATTATATATAAACATGTGTTTTTGTGTGGTCACACAAAAAACAAACAAAATAAAAATACAATATCTATAACTTTTTATATTCTGCAAAGCAATTTTGTAAACAAAGATTCTCCTTCGCATGAAGAACACCAGTATTGAGTACACGTTGGAATCTTTTATTTGTTGCATTCCCTACATCTTCTCTTATGCGTTCTGTCCAATTTACCAGGTAAATGCGTAGTGTCCAACTTGCGTGTAAGTGGTAAAGATTTTTCCGATAACAATGTCTTTATAACTTCCAATCATAATATGTAAGTTTTATTGTAAAAGCTCTTCTGAATAAAAGAAAACTGTTGAAAAACATAATTGACAAAAAATGTATTACGAGCTTCTTGTTCCATCTTAAAGTCTTCATCTCACTTATATAGTATGAAGATTTTTAATTATGTCCATCAATATTGGGCATATTTGCGTATTATTTAGTTATAACCTTTGGTTTCTGCACAATGTATTTTCTTTTTGTTTGTGTCTCCATCATTTCTTCCTTAAACTCCGTTGACAGAAATAAAACCTTTCTCTTGTCTCGCCATTTATTAACTGCAAATCCCTCAAGATATTTGGTAACTATTTCGCCTTTTTTAATTTTTGCGTTAATACCGACTTTCAGATTTTGTTTTCTGCCTCTTCTGGTAAGGTTTTTGCTTAAACAACTTCCTTATACTATATAAGCAAACACTATTATAAAAGTTGTCCATATATCTATAAAGAATATCCTTTTTTGTCAAAATATTTTATCAGTGATAATACCACTTGTTCAGGATGACCTGTACCACCAGTTTCACCTTGAGCACCACTGTATACAGTGCATCACAACATCATACCTTCTGGATCGGCTAACATGTACAATTTCATGCCGAACTTATGTCGTTTACCTTTTCAAAATTTGCGAAAGGCAGTCTTCCTCGCCACAGCATCATGTACCCATCTAGGCATAACGATTTTTCATGGTAATAAAATTCATCCATTCTAACCCGTTTATTCAAATAATCTTGAATGATAATCTTGTTAAAAACTAAATGCACTTAATATTAATCATCAATCTATTACTGCTCACGTATTTTTATAAACTAAGAATAGCAAGGAGTTAATCTTTTTCCAGTAGTCGAAGAAAGACCAAGAATTGCTTAAACGTTTCGAGAGAAAAATTCTAAGAAGAATATATGGATAAGTCCAGTTTGAGTCCAAGAGGAGGGTTTGTAGCGTAGGCTCTGCAACTTTGAGTTATACAGAAGTTTTGGGGAACCTAACGTTGTAAAATGTATTAAATTAGCACGGCTTCGATGGATAGGATATGTAATTAGGCAAGATGCAATGATCAGAAAAATTTTCGACCGAAGAGGACCAGTGGGAAGACCAGCTAGAGGAAGACTAAAAACTTAGGTATCAAGATAACATAGAGGATGATCTAAAATGCATCGGAGTTAAAGCATGGAAAAGAGTTGTCAGAGACAAGGACGATTAAAAGATTATTCTGAAGAAGGCTTTGGCTCATAACGGGCTGTAATGCCACTGATCATATAACACTGATCTGTCATATAAAATTGAAGGTCTCAAATTCTGCTTTATCGTATCTACGAGAGAGGAAATGGGCATTGAAATAAACTCAAACAAAACCAAATTTTTATTTAGAAATAAAACGTAGAATAGCAATGACTAAATCAACTTTTATGAAAATGAAATCATTTCTTTTCAATAATCATCTTAGTGTAGAACTAAGACAAAGAATAGTTAAGTGCTATGCTTGGTCCGTACTTTTGAATAGTGCAGAAGTGTGGACGCTAGAAGTATCGATCATGAACAAAATTCAGGCATTGGAAATGTAGGTTCATAGACAAATGCTGAAGATACCTTGGACAACAAGGAAAACTAATGAAGTATCAAGGAGCGTCAATAAAGATAGAGAACTGCTAAAGATTGTTACCCATCAAAAAATGTCGTATCTGGGACATATAGTAAGGAGAAGTCGATATAAAATATTACAACTCATCCTTAAAGGCAAAATAGAGGGCTGTAGAGTTGTAGGAAGCAAACGGATTTCTTGGTTGAGGAACATAATTATTATTCCATATTGCAAAAGATCGAGAAGCCTTCTGTCAACGGTGATCGCCAATGTCGGATAATTCTGATGTGGCACGCGAAGAAGAAAAATTAAACAAATTATACGACGCATTCAGTAATAAAAGAAGAAGAGTTATTCTATCTAATAGAATTTTAAAAATAACCTAAAATTAGTTTTAAACAATGAACAAGATGCTTCGTAGCAAAATTTTAGTATTTTTAATGTAATAAATCAATTGAATAACTTTTTTATATAAATATAGTTTCAATTTATTGTAGATTATATTATCATACATAACAATATTGTAACATTGTTCGCTCAAAAAAAAATAATAATAATAACTTGATGGATTCGACCGCTACTTGATGGAAATTTATTTTATGTAACAATAAAACACTGCAAACTTTGTTTTTAAACTTTCACAAAATTTATTTAAAATCTTATCACTACAGCTGTTTCGGCTGATTGCCTTTCTCAAGTGCTCTATTTTTGGCTTGGGTTTACAAATTTATAGTCTCTAATGAAATAGGTTGAGGAAGAGAGAACTGTTTGTCTCATGTTGGTCATTCAGAATTATATCTGTGTTTTTAATTTGTTGATTTCCAAAAAACTCTAACAAAGATAGCTTAAGGCCTTTATTTTGAATGTGAAGAATTTTAAATTTGTCATTAAAAGAATGATTATGATCTAGAAGGTGAAGTGCGTATGACGAATCTGTTTTTTCTATTCTTAAAAGCCCTTTTATGTTCTGCTATTCGTTTATCAAAGTTTCTACCAGTTTGACCGATGTAAGTTTTTGGGCAGTCGCCACATTGAAGTTTGTACACACCACTATTTAAGTGTTTTTTATTTTGACTCTTGTTATTTTTAATATATTTGCCTAGGTTGTTATTTGTTCGGAAAGCTGGTGTTATTCCTTTCTTTTTTATGTGTTTGGCAATTTTTGTTGTTATTTTGCCTGTATATGTAATCGAGCAGAAGGTATGGAAATCAACAAATTAAAAAACACAGATATAATTCTGAATGACCAACTTGAGACAAACAGTTCTCCCCTCCTCAACCTATTTCATTAGAGACTATAAATTTGTAAACCCAAGCCAAAAATAGATCACTTGAGAAAGGCAATCAGCCGAAACAGCTGTAGTGATAAGATTTAAAATAAATTTTGTGGAAGTTTGAAAACAAAGCTTTCAGTGTTTTATTGTTACAAATAATAACTTACTATAATCTTATGTAATGTAATCATCTTATATGTATAATGTAATATTTCAGATGTTTTTGTACCCGTGTCAATGGCCATAAATGTCGAGACACGTTAATTTCAATAAAAAAAAATTTCTTTATTCAAAAATTTGGTAATTTTACGCAAATTATTGGAAATGATAATTAAAAAATTACGTTACCGTTCGCGTGGAGAATCTGTTCTTCTGAACAATATCCAATAAGCAGTGGAACTTTATTAATATTACCGCCTTTAATTGTTTCATACATTGGTTCTGTAATAAAAGCATCAGAATGACGGGTTTCTATAACAGGTGCGAATTCCTAGAACAAAAAACATATATTTTTAAACATTACGGAAGACTTTTATTTTTTAATAAATCTAAATTTAGGAAAGCTAAATTGAAACAAGGTTTAAAACAATGTGCCGACAAGATATTTCACTCATTAACAAGTAGTAAAGTTTAAGTTTGTAGTTTGTGTTCCTTTTTTGTATTACAGTCGGTTTTAATAAGAAACTAGAGATCTAAATTCAAAAAGTAAAGTTTTTGATGGATAAATAACAACATCAATTAAGTAACAAGTAATGAAGGAAAACAGGCAATATTTTGTAATATAAAACAGGGGAAGATGTTTTGTATTATAACAAAGACAATGATTTAAAGAAAAAAGTTTATTTTTTATAAATTATATATGATTACATGATCTTATAATTATGATTTTATCAACCCAGTTCTCTTCTCCGTGGGGCTTGTTCATGTGTAGAAATAAACACCAATTGAAATCATGAATGTTTTGATTGTGTGAGTCCATTTCAAATAGGTAAAGAAATTATAAATAAGACTTACTCACAATCAATTTAATTTAACTATTCAGTCGACCGGTTTCGCTTTCTACAATATGCAAAGCATCTTCAGGTCTCGATACAAAGTTAAATAAATGCTGAAATAATAAACCCCATATTAGGGTGTTGTCTAATAAAGATAAACAAATTAGATGTTATAAATTACAATAATTATGCCAATATTACATGTCTGTGGTTTTTTAAAATAAATAAAAAGGTATAAAAAGTTTAAACAGACAAGGTCAGACCCACAAATTGTTATAAAATAGTCTATTACGTTGTAATAAATTAATAAATGAGCAAATAAATAAACATTACTTACATGCCGGTACTCTATTAATTGATGGATGGTAGAACATGGTTGAAACTATCATGTATTGTTGAATGGAGAACTTAAGTCTGCTATTGTAGTTGTTTGACAGTAAACGGCAAGTTCTTGAGGAGATAGATTTGATCCAATGAAGTAGAGATAGGTGTAATGTGATTGTTTGTTAGATGAAAGTGGTGTTATATACCATTGTATTATTTAAAAGTTATTTATACTTATTCAAGAGATATATTTATGAAATGTGTGTTATTTTATTGAGTATTTGTTTTACGAAGGTGCCAGTTTTATGACAATGAATAAGCTTAGATGTACAAATTGTGTGGGTGTGCAATTTTTTCAACTTGTTTTTATCAAATTTTATTGATAAAGTTCTATTGGCAAAATGGTAGATTATTGCAAAGTCGAGTATATAAAATATTAAAGTTAAAACCATTAAGGACAATTTAAACACACTAAAACAGAAAACACTTAGAAGGGACGAAACAAACATTAAATTTAAAAAGGGGGAAGGACTTTTATGCACTACATCTCAGTCTTGGACACAATGAGTTTTTATGTTATCTATTAGATTTTAGTGGTAAAATTTAGTGGTAAAATCTAATATATATCATAAAAACTCATTGTGTCCAAGACTAAGATGTAGTGCGTCTTTCCCCCCTTTTTAAATTTAATGTTTGTTTCGTCCCTTCTAAGGGTTTTTTGTTTTAGTGTGTTTAAATTATTAGTAAAGTAAGTAAGTCTTATTTACTTCTTATAAGTAAGTCTTCTTGTAAGTATACTTCTTGTAAGTAAGTCTTATTTATTATTTCTTTACCTATTGTAAACACCAATTGCTTCAAAATAACAACTAGCTACAGGGTCTAGAAACAGGGGTAGGGGGATTAGCTCCCAGAGTGTAGAAAACTCTCAATGATAGATAGAGTAGGAAGAGATCATTGCTTTAGGCTATTGCCAATTCATAAAATGAAATGATGTGTATTTAATTTTCGTAAAAGAGAGTCAAACGAAAATCGAAACAAGGTTTCAAGACAAGGTGTCGCCAATCATCGATTAACTCTTGGTGGTCTGTCAGATACCTTCTTTGTGGATTTATTATTAGAGAGTTGATAGTTTATTGATCAAAATACTTCGATTAAATCATAAAATAAACAAATCCTTTTAAAAATGTTTGATCTTTTTTCAGTAACAGCGTGGAAGTTAGTTTGCAGCTAGTTCCTTATGTAAGATCTAACAACCACTCATATTTACATTAGGCTTTAGGCCGGTTTGTACAGATGGAAGGTTTTCCAAGTCAATAAGCCAATAGCGAGATAGCCAGTAATGGACTTTTGTTTTCCGATTTTAGAAAAAAGTAACTTAAATCGCTGAATAATTAAAGATTATCTACTTTAATAAAAATAAGTAATAACGTTCAAAATTAAATTATGGTTTATTTTCAATACATATGGTAGGTACATAATATAGAAGTGCTGCAAGCCAGTAGTTTGAAATCTATCTACACAGCCAAATTCTTGTTATACGAACAAAAAATTATCATATTAAAAACTATTTGTCTTCAAATTTGGCAACAATTAACAACATAAACTTACTTACATTGTATTTATCTGCAGTACCATCTATCTTACTAACATCAACACTTTGCAAAAACTCAAGCAGATCGGCAGATGATCGATTCGTTCCAAAATTGGGATCTATCTCTAAAGCTAGCCCATAAGCTGTTTGTTTCGCGTTCCTTTGGTAGGCCCAGGTACATAGTGCCGAAGCACTTTCAGCTACAGCTGCTCTGAATAAACCTGCAATTTGAAGATATTGGAAAACTCATGGTGTCGCGAAGGTGCAAAAATTCACCTGTCTCTTTTTGTTTTATTTATTGCGAATAAAGAGTGTTAAAGCAATCACTTACATATTATAACAGACTTTGTAAAGGAAGCATTATTTTGTATATTTTTAACTAGAACTTAATGATGAAGACAAAGTTTAGCTTCTCATCAAGATTAAAAATGATCTGTGAAAGACTGTCGAACCATTTGTAAGGGCAAAAAAAAGTTTCTACTTTGGGAAGATAAGCAGGAAATTTAGTTTATTGTAGTATTATTGAAGTTTTGACGGTCCAACAATTTTTTTTTGCAGCTTATCGCAGCTTAAAAGCAGTTTGTGTTCTAGAAAGAGACTAAGTGAATTAAGCAATGAATACAAAAAGAGTGATAAATAAGAATCAGTAGCTCTACTAATAAGTATATATATATATATATATATATAATATATATATATATATATATATATTATATATATATATATATCCCGTTTATAGCGTAATCCGCCTTTGGGTTCCCGTTCGCCAAGCCTGTCTATTCTGCCAGTCTTCTTCAAATAGATTTCTTGCTGACATGGCTTTTGAAATTCCTTGCATCCATGTTGTTGGTGGTCGTCCTCGTTTTCTTTTCTCTGGTGGTACCCATTCTAATATTTTTTTTGGTAGTCTTTCTTCCCCCATACGTCTAACATGTCCGTACCATGTCAGTTGTTGTTTTTCGATGTCTTCTATAATTGATCTTTGTACATTCATTTGATTTCTTATGTCCTCATTTCTCACATGTTCTAATCGAGACTTTCCCGCTGCTCTCCTCCAAAAATCCATTTCAACTGCCAAGAGGTTACCTTTAAGTTTTTGTGATAACTGCCATACTTCTGAGCCATACACGATTACTGGTTTCAATATTGTGTTATATATTCTTTTTTTCATTTCCGGTCTTATATTTTTCTGCCATAGTACTGAATTCAATGCACCTATTAACTCGTTTCCCTTTGGTTATTCTGTCTTTTATGGCTTCATCAGTTCTTCCTGTCTTTGTTAGTTTTACCCCCAAATATATACATTGATCGCATTTCTTAATTTTCCCGTCTTCTAAGTCGAGGTCATCTGCAGTATTTTCTCCTCCTATGCAAAGATATTGCGTTTTTTGTAAATTTACTTCGAGGCCCCATTTTTTGTACTCTTCCATTAGTTTTCTAGCCATATACTCTAGGTCTTCCTTGTCTTGGGCAATAACTACCTGGTCATCTGCATAATGCAGCGTGTATAACGTTTCATCCCCAATAGACAGCCCCATCCCTTTACACTTCTTTTTCCATTGCCTGAGTGCTTCGTCGATATATATATATATATATATATATAAATAGTATGGGAGATAAACAACAACCTTGCTTCAGTCCTTTTGTTACCTGAAAACCATTAGTAACCTTATTTCCTATTTTAACTTTTGATATTGTGTTGTTATATAGATCTTTAATAGCGTCGATTAGTGAAACGCTGATACTGGTTTTCTCCAATACTTCCCACAATTTCGCAACAGGCACGGTGTCATATGCTTTTGTTAAATCGACTAAAAGTAAATGCACTTCTCGAGATCTCAGTGTTCTTTTCTCGAGTATTTGGGATAAGCAAAAAATACTATCTATTGTGGATCGTCCCGCTCTGAATCCGTTTTGTTCTTCTGATTCAAAAGGACGGTATTCTTCGCATATGCGTTCTTTTATAATTCTCCCATATAATCTGCTAAGCGTACTCGTAACAGTTATACCCGATAGTTATTGCACTAGTTACTAATAAGTACTTTTACCTTTAGATTGCGGACTTAAAATATGATAGGTTACTGAAGCTGCTCCTGCACTCTGTCCCATTATAGTTACTTTATTAAAATCTCCACCAAATAGGTGTATATTTTCGTTCACCCATTTTAAAACAAATAATTGGTCCTTTAGTCCCATATTTCCTTCTATAACATCATCTTCAGTTGACAGAAATCCTAAAATGCAAATATGTATATAAATTTGAATGTTTTCAAATGCTTGTTTCATAGAATATCAGTATCAGTCAGAATAAAGTTTTCAAGTGTGCACAATTTAAAAATTGAATGAAACTTTTTAAAAAAAATTGCATATATAATAAACACCTTAAAATTGTATCAGAATTGAATCAGAATCAGATGAAGGTATGTGTATCTCTCTCTCTTCAATCCTGACCCCCCAGGGGGAGTGTAGTGGTCGACGTGATGTCGTGTATTGTCCGTCTCCAGAGATCTCTGTCTCTGGTCATTTCTTTTAATTCATGCATATGTCTTTGGCATATTCCTGTTATTTGATCTATCCATCTTGTTGGGGATCTTCCTCGTGATCTTCGGCCTTCTACCTTTCCTTGTATTATGAGTCTTTCCATGCTTTCTGTGTATGCTCTCATAACATGCCCAAAATATTTTAATTGTTGAAGATGGACTTTACTAGAGAGTCGTTGGCTAACTTTTAGCTCTCTTAAAATTGAATTATTTGTTCTACGGTTGGTCTAAGGAATTCGTAACATTCGTCTCCAACAGAACATTTCAGTGGCGTCTATCTTTCTTCTCTCCGATTGTCTGAGTCCAAGATTTACATCCGTAGGTCAGTATTAGGAATATTAAGCAGTTGATCAACCTCATCTTTATCGCTCTTGAAATTTGACAGTCCTTCCATACTTTGGTCATTTTTGCTGTGGCAACTTTTGCTAGATCACTTCTACGTTTAATCTCTTCTTGTAATGACCATGTGTTTGTGGTTAAGGATCCCAGATATAAGTATGAGCTCACAACCTCGAACCGGTCAATTGTGGTTATGTATGGATGATTGTTGTGTAGTCTATCCACTATCATGATCTTTGTCTTTGATATGTTTAATTGCAGACCGAATATTTGATTTTCGTTTTCGATCAGTCGTATAAGTTCCATCAGCTCTGCTTGACTATTTATGACCATTTATTGAGATGCTCTTTTCCCATCCTTCAAGTGCTCGTCGCATAATATACTCCCCATATATGTTGAATAATTGTGGAGATAGTATACATCCTTGTCTGACACCCCGTTCTGGACGAAACTCGTTCGAAAGTGTGTCAAATACTTTAACTGATCCAGTAGTGTGTTCATATAATTCAGTTATAAGCGTAATTAGATGTTATGGTACGCCTACTTCTTTTAGTATTCGCCATAAGTCTCTCCACTTGACCCTGTCGAACTCTTTACGGTAATCTATAAAACAGATGTATAGTGGGATGTTGAATTCCCTAGATTTCTCGATTATCTGTCTTATATTCAGCAGGTGTTCTCGAGTGCCTCTACCTTTGGTAAATCCAGTTTGCTCTTGTGGAATTTCTCTTTGAAGGAATGTTTTCAGTCTCTCATTGATTATATGTAGCATTATCTTGTTGGCATGGGATATAAGAGAGATAGTTCTATAATTGTCGCATTTATGGAAGCTGCCTTTTTTATGTATGGTCGTTATTGTAGATTTTGTCCAGTCTTCAGGCCATTGTTTGGAATGCCACATTTGGTTACAGAGTAGATGAAATGACTTTACGCCGGTTTCTTCTATGACTTTAAGCATTTCTGCTGTTATCATATCTGGACCTGGTGCTTTGTTATATTTGAGCTTGTTGATAGCCTGTCTTACTTTATTTTCGGGTATATCAGGTTCTTCTTCCACCTCGTCAGAGATTCGGCTAACAAGCTTTTGGCGTTGATCATCTTTATATAGGTCCCTGCAATACGATCTTCATGTCTCTGCTATGTCTTCTCTGTTTGTTCTCAGGGTTCCAGTGTTATCTTCAATAGCCCAAGTTTTGTGTACAAACTTGGTATAAACTTGGCTTCATGTGTATAAACAGAGATAATAATAATGTCAGCTATGGGAATGATATTGTGATATTCTTTTATAATTTCAAAAGTTTCTAGAGCCTAGTGTATAAAGTAACAGAAATTAGTAGAAATTTAAACTATTTAATGATACAAAAAATAATAAGTCATTTAAATCAGGTTAAAAATAAAAACCCGTTTGAAAAAGTGCTGACTTTTATACATTTATAATAATGTTTATAAGCTAAATATAGCTTATAATCTTTTATTTTCTGTCAAGCGCTTTTAACTAAGCCCATTGAAAACGTAGTAGAACGATACGAAAGAATCTTCTATGACCAATAGGTACTATAAGATGAGTTTTTTTCGTCTTAAAATCATATTTCCATTGTTTATTAGCATTAGGACTTAAAAATTGAATGGCTTATAAAAGAAGATCTTATTTGTATGGTCAAAGATCACCAATCGTTAAATATAAAATAAAACTTGTAAATAAGTTAGTACTTACCTAAAGGCCCTATTCTGTAATTAAATAGTACCACTACAACGTCTTTTTCGATAGGATTTTGTGGTTGTAATGTTCCGAACCAAAGAGATCCATGTATAAAGGCTCCACCATAGATGTAAACCAATACAGGTAAATTAGAATTTGTGCCTGGGGCCTAAAAACAGATGGACAATAATGGAAATACAGTGTAATTAATGGAGTAATACAAAATGGCAAATAATGGAAAGTTAAGTGCAGAAAGACAGTGGCAACAAATTCTCTAAGTCCAAGAGAGTAGTCTGGGATAGGAACCAATAAAAAGAGATATATAATCGTATGGTTAAAACTCAAAACACTCAAAACACTCAGAACACTCAGTAATTAGGCAACAACTAAAAAGAGATAGAGAGGGATACACGATTATATGTTGATGGTCATATAATTCAAAGAGTGTCCAGTTTTAAATATCTTGGTTGCCATATTACTGAACAACTAGATCCAGATCAAGAGATAAAATGTAGAATCGAGATAGCCTGCACGACATTTTTAAAAATGAGGTCATTCTTCTGCAATGATAGCTTGAAACTTCAACTTCGAAAGCGTATGGTTAAATGCTACATTTGGTCAGTCCTCTTAAATAGGTGTCGAAGCATGGACATTAAAAATATCCACCATTAATCGTCTGGAGGCCCTTGAAATGTGGCTGCACAGACGTATACTAAAAATTCCATGGACGGCTATGCTGACAAATGTGGCAGTCCTTGAGAGAGCAAATGCTGCTAGCGAGCTGCTTGATAACATCAAATGTAGAAAGATGGCCTATTTTGGACACGTAGTAAGGGGAGACCGATATAATATTCTTCAACTTATTATGATGGGTAAAATCGAAGGACGCAGAGGAATTGGTAGAAAGCAGGCCTCTTGGTTGAAGAATATCAGGGAGTGGACAGGAATAAAGAAAGCTAAGAAACTATTTAGAATAGCTCGAGACAGAGACAGTTTCGCCATGTTAATCGCTGTTAAATAATGAAATATCCAGACGAAGAGCCAGTTGCTAGATAAAGCAGTCAGAACGAAAGACTTAACAAATGATTTGATTGATAATATAATGGTGTCAAGGTTTAAGAAAAAAGACGCAAAAAATTGCGTCTAGAGAGACGCGAGAAACTTGCGAAAAAGAAACTATGGAGAAATAATAAAAGAAGAAAAACTAAAAATATATCAAAAAAAATCCCAACATAAATTTAGGAAAGAGAATAGTACCCAAGACATATCTTTTATATTAAAGCAGATAGGAGGAAAGTTATTGGGAAAAAATAAGTTTTTGTTATTGATCTAAAAAAGCTTTTGGCAAAGATAAATCAGATGACATGTAAAAAATATATGACAGAAAATATTAAACCTTTAGGCAGTGTTCAATCACAAATTAACCTCACAATATTCTTAACTTCTTAATCTTTTATAGTTTCACCGTGTATAAGTTTGCATTATATATATTGCAAAACCATATCGTATGATAATTTAATAATTAGTTCATTTACCTACAACTAAATAAATTGCAGAATAATAATATTCTCTAATTGAACTTCCTAAGTGTCGCAATTAAGGCGTTGATTAAATTGTATTATAAGCAAAAGTTAGGTGGTGTGATATGAACGAAGCAATGACCTAAGGTGCTTATGTATCTATTATGTGTGATATTATAAATTGGGGATTTGAGTTCAAATGAACACAGTCAATATTGAGTAGTTACTGAACGAACACCATATTGTGTAATTACGAGTTGCTGTCAATAAATCATCACTTTTACTCCACAAGTTCAACATTTATTAACCCTATCATCATCGATCGATGAGAAGCGGACAAAGGGGCATTTATGAACCAAAACGAACTTCACTAATAAGTTCGATATTTTCCAGGCAGAAATAACAGGATTAGAGTAAAATGATAGTCATTAATTTTTAGATTTAACGACTAAAATAAGATCAAAAAAAAATATGTACTTGGTCAAATATTGCTTTTATTAATTATAAAAGATGTTTTTTTTAACAATAAGAATGTGTCACGGGATTAAATTAAGCATCCAGAAATCAGATCTAAGTAACCCAATTCAGTTTAAGAATTTAAAATCTTTTTTTTAATATTAATCATTGTTTATTGCTCGGTGCGATTGTTTGTTAATGGCATTTAAAATACCGGTATAACTAGAACACGCGGTAATCAAAAGCTTATTATGTATGATGTGTATATATCGTGTATAAATTATATTATTAAAACATGAATGCACAAACAAACGCACGTGAGTTAAATACTCGGAAAATAACGGGAGTAGATCGTTAAGAATTAAGAGTAGTGTTGTTATCCGTCAACTGGGTACTCTCTCTATTATTGTACGTATAGAACCAATAAAGTAATTATAAGTATCCAGTGAGTTCGAGTTAAACAACTTCATAGAGAGGGTAGGCTACCCCTAGAGTTCCACTATATAAAATTTTTAATGGAAGGAATCTAATAAACATTATATGATTATCCAACAATATTATATCCCCTAATCTATAAAATTATTAAGCATTTTTTCTTTAACCAAATTTTCCCAAGATTGTTTGTAAACTAGATGTCACGTGGCCCATCCTAGATTTTTTGACATGAAGCGCGTACGTCTTTGTTGCGGCTATACAGCACGCAAAATTTTGTAACGGAGAAATATATGGTCATAGTAGATGAATCGGAACAAAAATAATATAAGTATATACACAATCAAACTAAGAAAAATAAACACAGGAAAAAGCAAATAAATTTTCCAAGAAAATTTAAAAAAGAACATACAATTAGATGAACATACAATACAGATGAAGTTTTTAAAGGAATAAAAAAATAAATAAGAAAGGAAACAGGAAAACTAATGAACTAAACAAAATTTAGAATATAAGAACAAAGGTTTTTGGAAAGAAATAGAAAACAATAAAGAGGAAAGATAGCGAATGACTAAAAACTACAAAAAAATATATGAAGAAAGGCAAAGACAAAAAGCAAAGTTGACTACTACAATTAAGACGGGATAGGAAAGATAGCTAAAGAACAGAAAAACGCTAAAAATGTATTGAAAATATTGCAGTTTTGATAATAAATTATAAAACTGACTTAGAATAACCCTATACATAAGGTCACTTTGCGTTTGTTAATGAAGTCAATAAAATTATTCGCGGACAAGATTTTAAAAAACTGTACTCACCACTGGTGTATATACGTTAAGGTACAAACAATCTTCACTTATGTGAGGTGACGTTTTTCCTACTTGATGACATTCTTTGTTATTTTGTTTAGTATCTAAGATACCAGTCCACGGTTTTGCAGGTTGAGGAGGCTAAAAAAATGATATGTTTTATAAAAGTTTTTACCATTGGTTTGAATAAATAAATGGTAAAAACTACTAGAAATTTTGTCTTAATTTTACAGAATGGTAGCTTAAATTTTTAAGATAATAAGCGACATATATGTACAGTTGCGGTCACGGAATAGTTTACAGGTTCACGTATCAAGGAGCCCATTTTTTAAATTTTTACTTCGTTTAAACGCACCTTTTACGTCAAAGTGACGTTGCCAGTGGTGTACTAGCTAGAATAGGTAGATTAAAATTAAAATATCAAAATATTTTACAAAATGAAAAATATAGAAAACAGTTTTTTGAATAAAATGGATTATGATCTTAATAACGAAAATAAAGAAGTCTTTTTTTTAATATGCATTTTATTTTAAATCTATTTTATATTAAATACCGATAAACAATGATAAATAATAATTAATATTTGGTGGAAGCCCCATTCTTGTCAATACAATTTTGCAGTCTTCTGTTCATAGATAGCACCAATCCCCTCATGTTATAGTTAACAAGCTCTTCCCATGCCTGCTCAATTGCTTCCCATAATTCAATTCTATTCCGTGGTCTAAGGTTTCTTTCATTTAGTTTCTTTGTTAACTCTGCCCACACATTTTCGACAGGGTTAAAGTCTGCACTACGGGAAGGCCACGGAAGAACATTAACATCAGTTTCTTCTAGCCATTCTCGAACAATTCTACTCGTATGCACCGGGCAATTGTCATGTTGGAAGATAAAGTCGTTGTTGGGGAATCTCTGGATCACCGATGGCAACATTGTGTGCTCAATAATATGTTTGTAATATAATCCTGTTAACTTCTCCTCTACATGATAACAAACGCCCGGGCCTTCGGCACTTATCCATCCCCATACGTTGTCAGAGAATCCTCCACTATTTCTTAAATGATGCCTATACTGTTCATCATACCTATGATTTCTCGGCCTATAAACTCTTATTCGACCATTATTATACGACTGAAATACTTTTTCATCGGAAAATACAACCCTAGACCAAAAATTCTCATCGCGGTTTATAAATTCATTACAAAATTCAACTCGTCTCCTCTTGTGATCCTCAGTCAAAAAAGGTTTCCGTGCAGCTACACAATTTAGCAGTCCACTTGCTTTAATTCTTCGACGTGCAGTGCGAATACTGCCTGGAAACGCTGCCTCTTCTCTTGCCTTTTGAGCTGTGGCAACAGGAGATTCTCTCAAATAATCTACTAACATCTCATCCTGTTGATCTGTGGAAATCTTCTGCCCTCCTGAACCGCCCAACCGTGCTATAGAGTGAAAATTATCCCATCTTTGCTTAATCTTCCATATGCACATATGACTCACGTTCAAATCAGCAGCAACTTGCCTTAGTGACCAACCTTCTACGAGTTTGGCAATTGCTCTTGCTTTTTGCGCATAATTCAAATGTATTCTAACCATTTTGGAAGAGTTTAATATACTTTTATTTTATTGTTGAACACTCGCGAAAGCATTGACGTTTTGAAATTTTTTGACTTTGACATTTATCAAATCCGTACGACACTGCAATTTTACAGTATTACAATATAAAAAGTAAGGTGTAAACTATTCCGTGACCGCAACTGTACATATAAAAATCCTTTATAATAAAAAATCTTTTTATTTTTGTTCCAACATTTTAGGTTTTTTTTTAGTATCAAACCTCGCCTCATACTTTAAAGACTATAAACTTTATCTTTTTTTCTATTTATGGTTTAGTAACTCAAGTTTACTTCATTCTGTTTATGTATTGGTGTCATTTATGGACTGGACCATGATTTTCAAAAAACAAAATAACACAAAAGTTGCAGGTAAAGATAGGATACCAAATGAATTGTTGAAATATGGTAAAGGAGTACTGATAGATCAACTGACAATATTAATTAATAAGATTATAATATACTATTAAATACCATTAAATACCAAAATAATGGGGGACAAGCAATAAAATCATATTATTCAAAAGAGCGATAACAAAACAACCAGAAAACTACAGAGGTATTATTTGCTAAAAAACTACACTGAAACTTACAACTAAAACTTTACAAGAACGAGTAAATCAGATCATTTACTTAGCAGATGAGCTATAAGTTTGCCTACAGGAAGGTCATTTACAGATGCAATGCAATATGTGTCATAAAACATATTACACGGGAACCATTAGAATACAATAGATCCGTATTCTTATGTTTGATTGATTTAAAGAAGGCATTGGATATAGTAAGACGTAAAGTTCTACTACACCCATTGTATTAGAAGAATATATTGCTAGATATTATAAACACAATTATAAATGTCTTTCATAACAATAATATGAAAGTCAAAATAGATGAATAACTTACAAAATCCATTTTACTTACCATAAACCTGAGGTTACCCACAGGAGGTGCGGCATAAGGCACTTGCAAAAAAGCATAAAATGGTTTTCGGTATCGTATCGTTTTGGTATATACTCCTCGGATTTGTCCATAGGGTAATGTTATTACTGGATCTTCACATTTCTAAAAAGAAAAAATAAAGATTATTTAAATGTACTAATTAAAAATAGGTGAAAATTTTTATTATTTTTATTAACGAAGAAACTAGACCACTAGGTAATTGGACAATTTCTTCTGCTTATTCGTAAGGCTTTATTTTTCTCTTTGCTTCTTTTATGGTCTTAGTAAAATTGTTTTGGTTTTTATCTTTAGATGACAGTATCAGCCTGTTTTTATCTTTGTACTATTTTTATTCAAAATAAATTAAACATAGGTGAAAATCTCAAATAATTGAGATCCTATATACCTTCTTTTTTTCCCGTGAACCTATATACCTCTTATCATTGGATTTTTAATATAATTTTTGTCGCTTATCAATTTCTTTTAATTGTGTTTTTTTTACTTTTAATCATTCAATACTCTTAGTAGTCGATTAACTTTTTCCATTTTTGTTTATTTCCTTCAATAGTATTTATCTGTTTCTTCTGTGTTTTTTCTTTTTTTCCTTTTTTTATTTCTTTTGGTTTGTTTTTCATCTTGTACAAAATTGTTTTGGTTTTTATTAATAGATACTAGTACTATCCCAACTGTTTATTCATTTTCTAATATTTCTAGTAAAGGTTTTTGATTTATCTGTTGTTTAGTACTCTATTTCTGTTTCTATATATTTTGATATTTCTAGCACGCTTTCTAAAATATTTCACTGCCACAGCTATTAAATTTGTTTTATGTTTTTCTGTACTGTCCATTCTTTAAGTTTTACCTCCTAGAGTTGGTATTTTTTGTCGAATATAATTTTATTTATTGCATAATTAATTTTGCCTTTGCGACATCTAGTATCTACTATCAACATCTTGTCTTTTTTTCATCTTATTTTTACCCTTATATATCTCTTTCGTCTAAGTCTCCGCTAGACCCTTCAGTTTTTCGCAAATGCATTCTAAAAGAAATTAGTTGTCTGCGTAAGTTAGTGTATAAAGACAGAAATATATAAAAGTCGAAAAGAAATTTTAATAACAACCAGATATAAAAAGAAGCAATGGATGACGGAAGAACTCAGAGAACGATTTCCGAAGTGGAAATTGAAACGTCAATAAACGTATTTTTATCTTTAGTTGTGGCTTATTCCCAGTTAAATAGTAATTGAAAATAAGATAGTTACAATATCTGCGACACGTAATGAGGGGACAGCGATATGAACTACTAAGTCTGATACAGCACACAAGAAGAAGAAGTAAGTTAGTGTATCTATTTGTATAGGTTCCATCCTATTATACCTAGACTAATTCTATTAAGTAAATATTCAACCAGAACAAACATATTTATAATTTGTGGCGTAACAATCTAAAATAAATTAAAGTAAACAATTACAAAGCAGTCAGGAGGAATATTGGTAAACATAAGACCCACCTTATAACATGAACAAGAAAATTACAGATTAAATAGGTTTTAATATCACCAAAATATTATATCCTGTACTTACAGTGACAATTATAAAAGTATTCAACAATAATACTATTATCAGGTGTACATAAATCATCGTTTTTGATTACTTACTGATTTCAAAATCTAAAATAGATTTTAAAGTACTTATTTTCGTTTGTTATCTGATAGAGATGATATTATCATATCGGTAGTGCTAGTATCCACTTAGTAAAGGATTTTTAAAATATTTATTAATGTTTTTTATCCTTTAAACAATTTTTCACCCCTTTAAAATTTAAATTTTATTTGCCAGTCCCACCTCGAGATTTTCTCCTGAAATGCCCTTCCCTAGTAGGATGTGAAACATAAATTTAACAAGAATCTGTATGTCGTAGATTTTAAAAAAGTTATTATAAAATAACTTTCAACGAACGTGTATAATATCGTAAGAGAGAAAATTTTATCGCAATGACAGTTAAATCACAAGACGTCAGTCGAGTGACTTTGTCAAAATCTCATAAGCGAAACTTGCTAAAAGGCAACAAATTTGAATAAAACCAGAAGAAAATGTTGCCATTAAATAATTTTTCTTTCGAATGATATTCTAAAAGACTATTTTACGATACAATTAATGCACCATATCAACTAAACAATGCGACATCAATAAAAACACTGGAATCTGCCCACCTCTGCGGCGTAGACGGCACTTGAAGAAGAAGATCAACGAAACATAATATTTATTTATTTGTTATATAAAAAAATCGGTTTAAAAACGTTCTCCTAGATCTTCCGATACCCAGTTGTCACTCTCTCCAACTCAGAGAGTTGGAGAGAAGGCATGGATTTCTAACGCGGGGGTCTTCCTTTTATTTTTCTACCGTGAGGAATCCACATTAAGACTTATTTTGGGAGACGTTCTTCAGACATTCTCTGTACATGACCGTACCATCTGAGTTGTTAGGTACCAATATCGTCTACTAGAAAAACTGAACGTCTCCAGAAATCCAGTTCCGTTGCCTTAAGTTTTCTCTTGTATCTTTCCTTTATTTGTCATACTTCACTACTGTAGGTAATTATAATTGTAACGATTGTATTATATATCTTGTGCTTGTTATTTTTAGAGATTTATTGATCCAAAAGGATACTATTAATAACGGAAATTGCTTTTCTTGCTTGATTGTTTTTCTCCTCAATTGTGTCATCCACGTTGCCTTCTTGTGATGATCATACCTAAATATTTAAATGTCTTGCAATGTTTGATAACTTCTCCATCTTCCAATATGAGGTCCTGTTGTTTGCCGCCGATCCATATAAACTCGGTTTTTTGGATATTGATTTTAAGTCTTCATTTTTTATTCTCCTCGATTAATTTTCGAGTCATATACTCAATATTCTCATAATTTTTTGCTATCACTAGTTGATCACCTGCAAATGATAAAGTGTATATGCTATTATTGTTAATCGGCATTCCCATATTTCTACATTTGCGCTTCCATACTTTTAGAGCCTGTTGTACATAAATTTTAAATAATGTCGGGGAGAGCCAGTAGCCCTTTATTAATTGAGATAGATTGACAGATCTTTCCAACCTTTAGCTTTGAGGTAGCATTAGCGTACAGTTCCTTCGTCGAATTTAATAAATTCATGCTTATGTTTGTTTTCTCTAACGTCTACATACATTCTCTAACGTCTCTTCTGCCTTTTTTGTATATAGTGGATATGAATGATGTCTTCCACTCCTCTGGGATTGTCATTCCATTAATGCAGTTTTGGAACAGTTTGGCTAATCTTGTACACAGTTTGATTGTACCGTATTTAATTATCCCGCAGGGATGTTATCTGGACCCGGTGCTTTGTTATCTTTTAGAGATCTAAACACAGATATTTATATTTTGTGTTTCGTTGCCGTCTTTAAATTGTGATCTATCTTCCCTTAAGAGTTTCTCAAAATATTGGTCAGTCATTCCTTGTTATTGTTGATACTATATCTCTCTTCTTATATTGTCGTAAATATTTTAAGACTCTTTAACTGTCTGTGCGTTTTGGTCCTCCTAGATCTGAATTTATATGTTACACTTTTGTTGTCATGCTTTAGTTTTCTTCCGACATACATTGTTTGTACTTTAACTTGAGACTCCTTATAGATTACTTTATCCGTTTTGTTTTTTGTATTTAAGATTTTTTGATATTGGTCTCTTTTCTCCTTTATTTCTTGTTGTATTTTTTGCTCAAACCAATATGAAAATTTTCTTTGATTCTGGTTTTGGTATCCAATGACTTCGTTTGCTGCCTCCTGGAGACACCTTTTTATGAGTGTAATGTTCTTTATTATTATTAAATTTTTTATTTTCGATTTCATCTATTTCTATATAATTCTCTCCCGTTTTCCTGTTCTAAGATGATTAGTTTATACCTCTTCTGCATTACCTTCTCCCTTTCATTTCCTTCCTTTTCTTCTTGGTTTATTTACTCCAACTATGATCTTATCTTTTAATAAGTTATGATCGCTTCCACAGGTAGCTCCTTTCAATACTCTTACACCTGGTACAATCATATTTGTCTTTTGTCGTATGATTGTGTAGCCTATGGTTGATTTTAATGCTCTCATATTTTGCGTCCATGTGTATTTGTGTATATCTCTGTGTTGAAAAAATTTATTTGAAATTTTCATTTCATTTTTTTGCATAATGATATTAGTCTGGTGCCATTATCATTTCCGTGGTCCTCTTCTAATTAACCTATAACTGCCTTATGGGTTTTTTTCCAGTTCTGCTGTTTAAGTCTCCCAAGATGATAATTTCTTGAGATGTGCCGACTTTGCAACGTCTAAATTAATTTTTTCAAAATATCGTTTTAATGTTTATTGTTTGGGTCCTCTAATCGTAAGGCTACTTTTTATCTGTCTCTCATTTATGGCCCCCCAACTAAGTGTGTATTTCCTTAGCTTTTTACGTATTAATATGGTAACACATTGTTTAGCTCTTTTGGCCTTTGGTATCCTGCTGTAGAAGTGATCATATTCTCCGATGTTTTCTGATCCTTTGGTTTTTCGTTTTGTTTCAGTGATTACTGTAATGTCCAATTTCAGCTTATTCATTTCATATATGATTTTATTTATTTTAGGTCTAAAATCTTGTACGCTATAAGTTTCGAAATTCGGCAACGTACAGTAGTTTCATAGGTCATCGTATGTTGATGTCGTATTTATTTATTAACAATAATAAATGAACATGTATTATAAGCTACGGTAGTTTGCCTATTCTTTTCTACCAAAGCATGTTCAACTTTTTATAATAAATATGCTTTCTTTAAATGTCTTTAACTTTCTATAACTCTAACATTACATTCAGAACACAAATTGTCAGTTCGACAATATGGAGTTCCAGGGACTCTACCACGTCGTTTGTATAAAATTAATTCATCACGTTGGTTCAGGGTTAAATGCAAGTATTTTCATATTAAAATCAAATGGTACAATTAAATTAATAACAAATTATCAAAAAATATTATACAGTAGAAATATGTAATAAATAAATAGCAGCAATTTCATAGCAATCGAGCTTCGTCCAATATAAACAACACAAAAAACTAGATTTTTTTGCGAAGAGCGTCAACTATATAAAAAACGCCATGAGTTCATGAAAATTCATTATGTTGTACAAATAAATTGGAAATAGCTGCTACAAACAGTGTGCAATATTTTTATGGGGTTGGCAATAATAGAGTGCGTTCCTTTATACTTTTATTCGGTTATAAATCACTTCGACAAACGTCCATGTGTTTTGTAAAATAATTAAAACTGTAGCGAAAATTGTTTTTTAGAAGGGCCGTTACAAAAACATGTTGGCCAAATCGCAAAACTCCCGCAAATGTGTTTGCTTTTTGACGAAACCCATAAATTTCGGATTGTTTGTTTAGATCCCGAAATCCGAATATAGGAAAAATCAACAAATTTGAATTGTTATTACATTACATTAGTTTTAAAATAGAGAAGAATTTGTATTGTATGTATGGATCGCTTGTATAACAAGAAGCAAGAATGTTTGTAATTGCTATTTGTATTATATCCATGTATTTTCCAAAATGGTCAATTGCTGTGGGATGTCAAATTATTAAAAAAAAAAACAAAGCAAAATCAGCTTCAGCCTTCAAGGATTTTTATCAGCTATCTCTCATATACTTTTGGAACCTTCAAAAACCTGCATAAGATTTTTAAGGTTTGTTTTATATGCCTAGCTAATTTTTCTGTTTTTATATAGGACCTGTACCGTGTTTGTCTGACCCAACTTAATAAACAATAGTTCACATAATACGTAGGTTTATTATTGTCAAAATAACTGTCAAAAACAATGAAGCTATCAGTTTAAATTTCCCAATGCTCCTCCACGTTTTTCTATCTTCTGCCATTCTAGCACATTCTAACAATGGAGCGCCAATGGTAGCAACAATATGGTCCGTATATCGTGTGGGGAGATCTACCTCTATTTCTTTTCCTTCTTATTTTCCCTGGATGGTAAGTTTTTCAAGACGATTTCTTCGAAGCACATGTCCAAAATAGCTTATTATTTGTTCTGACATTTGTGTTCTTAGTCTTTTCTTTATGCTTAGCTGGTCCAGTATGGATTCATTTGTTCTTCGGGCCACCCATGGTATTCTCAGAATTCGTCTCCAGCAGTACATCTCAAATACATCTATGTTCTATTTGTCTTTCTCAGTAAGGGTCCAGCATTCCGATGCATAAGTAAAAACTGGAAAAAACTAGACTTACTACTGTCTCATTATTGTACTGTAGTTATTCATGGCTTTTCCAATTTTTGTTAATTTTGCCAAAGCGCTTTTTGCGATTGGACCGCCGCTTTATTTCTTCAGTACAGCCTCCTTTGTTGTTATTAAAGCCCAATACACAAATTTATCTACAACAGCGATTTTTTATCATTATTTATCATATCATATCATATTTGATTGTTGTTAGCTCTGTCAATTATCATGATTCTCGTTTTATCTCTGTTTATTTTAAGACCCATCGTTAAGCTTACGTCTTCTATCTACTCTTCAGCTTCAGAACTAGCGATGATAGTAGTATCATCTGCATATCTCAAGCTGCAAATTTCCTTCCCGCCAAT